TAGCAAGATCAATGAAATCTCAAGGTGGACAAAAATGTCTAAGTAATACATAATAAAATATTTAATATTTGTTCAGAGTGGGGGTATTCATCTGATTAATCCATGAAATAACCGACACACCTAATCTTTTAACCCAGATAGAAATATCAGCACTGTCGATTCCACCTATAATTGAGGTGATGTCTGCCATGTACTTTTGTCAGTTTTTCAATTTTTTTTATTGATGATCACTTTGTTGGTGCAACTAAATAAATAAATAAATTAAAACTATATATAAAAATAAAAGTAGTGCCAACCCTAGCAAATTTCTCATTTCGTCCCAATTAACCGCAATTTTCGGGTAAATAGGGATTACACCTATTTTTGCATTTTTTGCTTAAACTGGAATGCTAATTGCATAATTTTAAATTAGACAACAAAGATGCCCCCAAGACTCAATCATTTTGATCCTGATATAGCATTATATACATCAACAACTACCTTAAAATTGCTCATAAAGTTGGAATTTGTCCCTAATCGCCCCATTTTACGGTACCTATTTTAGCAACCGATCCCTGCTGCTTCAACATTGTTGCAATTATTGACAGCTATTTTTACAAGAGCACCATCTATTCCGGAATCAAACTAGGTGACGTCATTTAATTTTTTTTTAATTAGCGAAAATATTGGCTTCCATTGAACGGTTCTGATGTTCCCTTTAGCGAGGCCACGTTCAATTTAAAACGTTCAGAATTCAATAACGTTCATTACCGATTGTAGAGCGTCAAAGATCTTGACCATTTGACCGGAGACCGCTAGTGCATTGCCTCAATTGTTTCATCCTGTCTACTTATTAATTTACAGCTACTTTTTTTTTGCATTCCTCTTCATCTACATAGAAACTGTTGAGCGATTTATCAACTTTAACTTATAATACTTATTAAATTCGTTTTATTTTGTCGTGATATTATTTTCAGGTTTAACCTTTGATGACTGTATAGCATAAATTGATGAATCATATGCATTTCAAGTTGTTTTGTTTTTAAACAATTACCTTGTTATTGTTAACTAGTACTTAATATTGCGAACATAGTCGAACACGGATTGGTTTTCATTGCATCAGAGAAAAGTTAGCGGTCGAGTACATTATGACTCGTATGGCCGTCATATTTTTGTGTATATTCAATGAATAACATTTATATTATTGTTTATAAATCTGCCTTAGCCAATACGAGTATAAACCTAATAACAGACATTTAGAAGTAAACCTTAACTACTAGGTAGGGTCGGAAAAACACGTGACTTAATTTGTTATGTGGCTTGAAGACCTTCAAGTTAACGAGTACATCCGAAATGGCATGTCTTGGATTAGTAAATCAGAACAGGTATCAGTGGAAGAACTTAACTTAGTAAACAAGTTTATTACTACTGCTATTTGATGGAGAAATATTAGATGTAGCTCCAGATGACCTCAATTGGTCAGGTCATTTTCACGTAGTATGTAGCCGAGTCCCTGACACTGACACGTTGTTCTACTAGAACCTGACAAACAACAGACTTACTGGTGGAAAGACCTCTTGTATTATTTGTGGTAGGACCTCTTGTGGACCATCTAAGCAATAAAAAAATAAAAAGGGCGTCTTGCGAATCCGCACGGGTAGAACTTTCACTGTGCTTATTTCTACCGTGAGCACTAATGCGTTCTGGGTCCAAGGATGCGGCAGCCGTTGTGGGTGGGTTACAGTATTTACTTGGTCGCTGTCTATGGGCCCCAGTAACCACCACACACCAGGTGGGTGTGTGGTGGGTCATCTGGTTCATGTATGCAATAGAAAAATACTACCGAACCATATCTACAGACGGCAAGCGACATTACTGGTTTTTATGAACCTTCATACAAATTATTTAGGTATACTTTCCCTCGTACAATTACATTTTAGATTGATACTAATCATTTTGCTCTTGATCATAGATTCAGCAGTAGCCATGTAAGTACGGAGAAGCGCGTAATAGAGACAGAGTAAAATTGTTGTCCTTTTTGCAAAAAAAAAAACTAACGGAATTCAACTATAGGTATTTCCGAATAAAACATATTCTTAGACCCACTCGTCACAATAGTGAAAGTACATCCATCTTATTGGATTATTATAAAATGTATGTTGTATAATGCAATTATCTTGTGTATGATGTGTTTTCCCCGCACACAATCAGCCTCTGGAATTAATGACACTTCAATGCCGTAGAATTCGTGATTCCGTGGTTTTCCCACGTGATATATTTCTGTTCAAACTAGGCTTAAGGAAATCGTTTTATGATCGGTAGCGTAGCATCGTGGCTGTGTACGCAACACCCTAAGCATAGAGTATGTAAAAGAAACGGTGGTTGGACATATTGTGGGGAATTAACCCCCCGGCAACTTTCTGCCGCGTCGCAATCGTGCGTTCCGGCTTAAAAATGGAGGTTTTATGACGGCTGGCAACATTTATATTGTGTTAACTATGGATTCAGGAAACCATCTAACACAAAATGCAAGATGATGAGTTGATCGATCACCCACCCACCTACGCAATAAAATTAAAAATAAAAAATTTAAAAATCAATGTACGCAGCTATCTCTATTTTCTTACCAAATAAAATATGTTAGTATAATAATTAATAATGCAATAAACTTTCGTATTTTTTGACACAAAATAGATTAGTCTATCCCGTCTATCTTACTTCCGGTGTCTGTAGATATGAAAATTATTTGTTGAATTGTAGAGCATTAGATGCATTTTCTAAATCGTGTTTACGCGTTTGAATGTTTTTTTTTTAATTATTAATTTTATCGAGTACAAGGTTAATAATGTATGATAAGTTATCAAAAAAAGAAGGAAAAGAAAGAAATACGTATTTTTTAAACAATCTAGAAAAAAAAGTTTTAGACCGACAAGAGTTTTGGTTACATAATATTTTTCGTTTCATAAAAAAAAAGAGCAAATCGCATTCAATATTCATAATCGTGAAAAAGGCAGTACATACCTATGCCTAGCGATTTTTATTCAATAACCTCTTAAATTAAATTTTACATATATTTCGGGTAGTTGGTACATTGGTGAAATGAAATCGAAAAAAAAAAAAACAAAATTCAGAAAAAACCAAATCTCTTACCCCTGATAATTTACACCAATAACCGCCTTTTTGGATACACATATCGCAATTCGCATTTAAATTTCGTTTCGCGAAAACGATTTGAATTGACACTATCACCAGAAACCACACTCGCGCCATTGTTGTCCACTTATTTCAAAATTAAAATAATATGAAATAATTAAAAAAATATACAAGATTTCGGAATTTCGTTCGAAATACAAAAAAGCGCGCGCGCGATCCACAGCGGCCCACCACAGACTGTAGAGTGAAGTCGACTGTCGACCTTTTGTTTTGTCAGAACGGTCTCTCAGTGGTCGCCCCGCGTCACAGATGAATCACTCAAGATACAGTCGCTTCTGAAATTCGCGGAAATCGCATATCACGTATGTAGGTAGGTACGTACGTGTCGTAAGAATTTATCATAAATTTTTCTTGTCGTATCTATTGGCAACCTGAATTTCGCTGATGACAATTTAAGTGATTACCAGTACCCGTAAACGTCGCGAATTCTCTCACCCAGGGTAATTAGGTAAACGTTTTCGACTTGTATCGCTTCTCTAGTCCGAGCGTAGCCGGAATAGCTGCTTCGACTACCGGCGATTAGATAGGAATAAATTAAATAAAAAATCGTTTCCTTAGTGCGATTTTATGTATTTTTTTATTGCTTAGATAGGTGGATGAGCTCACAGCCCACCTGGTGTTAAGTGGTTACTGGAGCCCATAGACACCTACGACATAAATGCGCCACCCACCTTGAGATATAAGTTCTAAGGTCTCAAGTATAGTTAGTAGTATAGAAAGATGTGACCTCCTTCTGGTAAAAGCACTTTTTTTAAGGATCGAAACATGTCTACAGATGCACAAAGTGCTCAAAATAGTATTTACAATAAACTACAGCGGGAATTGTATTGGTTTTTTTATTTATTACTTAGGTGGGTGGACGAGCTCACAGCCCACCTGGTGTTAAGTGGTTACTGGAGCCTATAGACATCTACAACGTAATGTCGCCACCTACCTTGACATAATAATATGAGTTCTAAGGTCTCAGTTTCAAGTAAAACGGCCCCCACCCTTCAAACCGAAACGCATTACTGCTTCACGGCAGAAATAGGCAGAGTGGTGGTACCTACCCGTGCGGACTCACAAGTCGTCCTACCGCCAGTAATTGCGCAAATTATAATTTTGCGGATTCGATTTTTATTACACGATGTTATACCTTCACCGTGGAAGTCAATCGTGAACATTTTTTAAGTACATACGTATTTCATTAGAAAAATTGATATTTGTCTGCCGAATTCGAACACCGATGCATCGCTAAATTCGAATGCACCGGGACGTCCTATCCTTTAGGCCACGACGACTTGAATGACGACGACGATCATTTGGAACCTTTGAGTTTACAGAGAGATATCAGTTTTCGCTATGTTTTGTGTTCGCGCCATTGGAACAGTGTTCATTTCTAATTTCGGGACCATTACGTTCATTGATATCTAACGAGCTCTAAAAAAGGTTTTGCCACCACGGAACTCTGGACTGTAAGGATTCTCCTCCTCGAGGTTTTTCGAGTAATATTCCATATCTGTTCAGAGAGACTTATAAAAGATTTCTTAGCATGCTAAACACCACGACAGGCGATGTCCACGGTAGATTTTCCTCTTAGCATCAATCAATATGTCAAGAATCGTTCAAAAAACGTTGAAGTGTTTGTTCGCAAATATTTTCAAGAACAAAAAAACCGGGTAGTCATTTGACTAGTACAGAAACAATCGACTATTTATTATTCTTAGAGAGAAGTCAAACGATAGACACATAATGTCCGTTGCGACTTGCGACCTACTGAGTTAAACATGGTTTTTGTTTTTTTTAGGAAGAACGGCGTATTGGTGGCCCGGAGGCCTTTCCAGTTTCTTCACGACAGGTTGGCGAGCACAGGCTCAGCCAGGAAAGGTGGAATTTGCTAACATTTCCCCAAGCACCTCCAAAGGAGATCTAACAACTCAAGAGCAGCTGGTTTCTAGTCGCGCCTTCAACTTGTTAACGGTAATAGCTCGGTTATGCTCTTGACATCGCTGACGTCTAATCTTTGATCAGTGATCTAGGAATACTTGGGTATTGATGAAAAGCTGTTTTCAATAATGTGTATAACATAACACATGTATTAAGCATATTTATGTTTCGGCGTTTTTGATAGTACTTTAATGAAAGGACCAAATCACGGCCGACATCGTGCCAATTGGTATTTAGGTAAGGTCTCAGTGTTAACAGTACAAAACAGAAATAGAAATTAACTAGCCGTACTCGCTCGCTTCGCTGGGCATTTAAAATTAACATTATTACTTATCGTCATTATTATTAAGGAGTCCAACACTCATATAAAATATATTAGACTATCCATTAAGTACATTTTCTACATGGATACCAAGTTTCAAGTCAATTGGATGCATGGTTCAGTAGTTATAACGGAACATCCGTAAAAACCACTGTAGATTTATATATTAGTATAGATGATTTTACGGTACCAATTAGGTAATCAGAGGTCATAATCACACCGTCAATGATGCCAAATCAACTCGAAGTCGACGTCATAAATATATTATTGTAGGAATCCTCGGACATTGGTTATCTGAAAGAATTTAAATCATTAAAATATTAGAAAGATTATTAAGAGAAGTTTTATGATTAATTTATGAGATGTAGATTATAAAAAGGAGTCAAAGTACCTACTGCAGTGATGAAGAAGGAATGAGGAGATTCCCTCAAAGTCTCAGAGAGCACCGAATGCGACCGGGCGGCAACGCGTAAGGTCCGCTTCTTCAGCAGTCCTGAAGTTTTATGATTAATTTATGAGATGTAGATTATAAAAAGGAGTCAAAGTACCTACTGCAGTGATGAAGAAGGAATGAGGAGATTCCCTCAAAGTCTCAGAGAGCACCGAATGCGACCGGGCGGCAACGCGTAAGGTCCGCTTCTTCAGCAGTCCTACCTCCTAGGCATGGGCAATGCTGCGGCGACTCGCCAATCGCATGCAGCTTTGATATACATTACCACCAATCTGTATAGACTCAAACCGCTTTGGTCAGGCGGTGAATCCCCATGTAACCAAATTCGCGTTGCCTTCCCCACTCAAGATATTTACCCCGGCTTATCAAGAGTTTGTCTGCTCTTCGGCGCCCGAGTCCGATGATAGCTTAAAGTATGCCTTGTGGATAAAGACATACTTCCTTGCTTCCCTGAGTAGGAACGGACTCCCGTGACATAAGCAATTCAAAAACTATTTATACTAAAAATGTTACTAATGTTAGCATCGCGATTCAGTTTAACTTTCAAAATTAAGTAATTTATCGAATTGAAGAAGAAAATCGATTACTCATGTATCTGAAACTATTAGCATTGCTCTTTACCTATTACAGATATATGTATAGATTGAGTAATTACAAAAAAACAAAGTAATAAAGAATGACTAATGCCAGGAGCCTTGTGTAGCGCCATCCAGCGATTTATTTTGGTACTAAAATGACACTTAAACTAAGGCAGCTTTACACATTTTCGGAAACATTTTCAAAAAAACCTATCTATATCAGTACTATGATCCATTATCAATATTTTTTTATCATTATCATTATCATTTCATAATATCATCTCATGTGGATGTTTGGACGTTTTGAGGAATTATAATGAAATATTTAAATAACAAACTATAAAGATGTCGTTAATTTGCTACTAGTTTATTTCGTTAAATGATTTTTTTTAGAATATATAATATATTAGGGAACATATATTTTGTACAAAGTAATATATCATACATAACAATAAGAAAATAAATATATACATACAATCAAAATTTTATTGAGTTATATTACTACTGCCCATTAACAAAATAACGCCACCAGTAGATTATTTTCTCGTTATTATTATTATTATGTTGTTATCTCGATAATCTATTTATTCTTTAGAAATAATACTTTACTAAACTATGATTAAGCGGGTGCTCACCACGATTTTCATATTTAATGAGTTCTCGATATTTCGATGGTGCTGCAAGCGTCATGATCACGGGTACACTGAAGACTGCGAGGACCAAATAAATCTGTTTACCCTCTATCTAGTCCAATATACTTACGGTTTTGACAGTTTTTATCGAAACACTTCCAGAACGCGTTTTTTTTAAAGAACCGTTATATAGTTATACCCGTTAAGTTTAATCTAGGTAGCAGCAAAAGCTTACAACAATTAATTTTGTTATCCGTTGTCCTTTTAATTACGAATATAATGAAAAAAAAAACAACTCAGCTAAATGAGTAGAGCCATTCCCAAGTGATTATCCCTAAAGTGTATATTAGATTGCGGCCACTAATTTTATTTATATAAATATCATACCATTGAACTTTACCGAAATTTTCTAATAAAATAAAACGTTACTTTTAATTCTGTTTTTAACGCCATCTATTGATAAACAAGCATATCTATGGCTGTCAATGTCTGAATAGACACGCTAGATGCCTCTGTTAAAAATTTCAGTGAATCTTTTAGATAGATTTTAACATTCTTTTTACATATTGTTCCATTAATTTAGAAGATTTTCTTTTTCAAACTACGCTTCTATTCATCAAATGGCCGACGACAACAAAGGATTTGTTGTAGGGCGTGTAAGTAGCATAACACGAACACTAATGGGAGCTTGATTGATGATATTGTTTCAAATAGGCGTTAAGCAATATAATCTTATTACTAATTTGCAATTTCGTCTGCATGAACTTGATAATGCTTTTTTATATTTAGCCATGTGATGTGACATAGCCATAGCATGACGCAAAAAGATAACAATTGTAGATGGCTATTGAGTACCACTGTAAACGTGGGTAGTTTTTTCTAAAATCACCCAAAATGAAGTCATAGCTAATTGTTTTATAAAATTCCGAAATTACTAAGAAGTAAGACAAAAAATAGCATTGAAATCTATTCAGTATTTGCTGCGTGACGCGCGCAGAACTGGATCATTTAATACAGATATTGGCGGCACGGTAGATTAAGGTGGTGATTAAATACACAACTCAAATCCATCACTACATAGTATAAAACAAAGTCGCTTTCTCTGTCCCTAAATCCCTATGTATGCTTAATTTTTAAAACTACGCAACGAATTTTGATGCGGTTTTTTTTAATATCTATTTTTAATATCTAGAGTGATTGAAGAGGAAGGTTTATATGTGTGATAACATTCATTAAATAGTGGAGAAATCAATAATAAATTACAGTTTCCGAAGCGAAGCGAGGGCGGGTCGCTAGTAATATATAAACTTGCGACTCACCAATGGCACAAAGAACTCCAAGAATGCTTTGTGGTCTCCAAATCCATGTAGTTTGAAATGAAGTTTGTCGGAGGCGTTACGAATCGGCAAATTGTGGTAAATAGAAAAACTTACAGTTTAATATTTTAATATTGTATTTATATTCGAGGCGATCTGACGGTTATAATTACAATAATGAAATAGAATTATGTATTCGTTTCTAACGTGAAACACGGTTCACACCGCTATAAAGTTGAATACATATTTGCAAATAAAACCAAATAAGTTGACAGTAATATTATATGCTTTCATCAAAAAAGTTTGTGTTTAACAAAGAATAAAATTACTCTCCTCCGAGAGTATTATCTGAGCTTTTACCAAGTGGGCTTGGCGTGGCTTCTGGCATGGCGGAGCGAAGCTGTGTGAACAGTTTTATTTTGTTGTTGTTTCTTTAGGCTTAAACGCTTAATAACGGTGGTTTATTAACTGCTTAGTATCCGTGAAAGTACATAAATATGGGATAATGAAACAAAGCCTCTGGTCATGGCTTCTCGCGTTCTTTCAAAAGTTCACTTACGTCGCACTAAATAACCACCACTTCCTGGCTGAGCCTTTGCTCGCCAACCTGCCCTGGTAAAACTGGAAAGGCCTACGGGCCACCAGTAAATTCTCAAACATAAAAAAAACCACCACTTCATCGAGCCTTTATTTCATCCCATCTCATTCCGATTCATTTCATTTTATACCAATTGATTGCATTCTCAAATAAATCAACGTCATCTCATTGCGCTCTATATCATTTTTGGTGTAATAGAATACGTATTTATTAATTGAAGATTTTTCTTATCAGAAATCGATTGCAAATCTTAAAAAAAGAAGAAAAAGAATGCGTCATAAAAGTTTATTATATATCACTACATAGTATAAAACAAAGTCGCTTTCTCTGTCCCTATATCCCTATGTATGCTTAAATCTTTAAAATTACGCAACGGATTTTGATGCGGGTTTTTTTAATAGATAGAGAGATTGAAGAGGAAGGTTTATATTTATAATAACATCCATTAAAGAGTGGAGAAATCAATAATAAATTACAGTTTGCAAAAAAGCGAAGTGAGGGCGGGTCGCTAGTATTCTATAATTTAAGTAGTATTGAAAAGAAAAGGATATATGAGTCGTCTATTATCAAAGCCGGCAATCTGACTTTTGAACAATATTGGTAAATCAGAAAAACGAATTATTGACTTTGTATTCCATGGGCAGTCACAAAACTCTTCGGAACAACATCTTAGATAAATAACAGGTTAACTATTAACCTTTATTTAATGCAGGTTTTGAACCGTATTCTTTGAAGGAGACGATTATATTCAAATCAATCTGTATTGACATATCAATAATTTTTTTTGTCCAAATGCACAGATTGCCACCTTTGATAATAGACGACTCATATAAGGAAATTAAATTGTAAGCGAAAAAGTGAACCTAGAAAAGAAAAAAAAACTGAATACCTATCTATAGGATTTAGCCTACAAAAGAACTTCTGAATGATTCACTGCTTGAGCTTGCGATTTATCTACATGTATTTAGTTACAAAATAAATATATATCCTATGACATTTGTATTTAAAATTATTTAATTACAAATTTTGCTAAATTACAATAATTGCATTTGAACATGCTTTTTTTATTTAGTAGTATGCAAGTAGCTTTATTTTTACGACTGTATCTTTGACCGTCATTTTCGCGAATTTCAAGATTACTTGTTAACTTGAAAATTTACACAGGCATCAAAGACCGATAACAATTCAATAATTTTATAATGACGCTCTAACATATTGATTATGATTAATACATTCTAAACTACAAATTATTATTACTAATTATTATGAACTATTAAAAAACATGTTTAGATGATAGATTCTAGGAAGAGATATCTGTCAATTTCCTGCAAACCATTTCGTTGGCTTGCAATGTCCAGGCTCCTCGGTGTTGTCTTCTTATAAACACAGCTAAGGCTGGTTTCTGTTTCTAGCTTTCCGTAATAGGATCCGCTCTATAAGACGGATTCTTGAAAGTCACACATGGATCTATGTACAGCTTATTGGTACGGGCCCCTTGATCTGGATTGTACTGTTTCATCAGTTCCATGTACTCCTTCCTGTCGTGATACTTCGTCATCAATTTCCAAACAACCAATGTTCCGATCCCTACCAAGATGACGGTTACAGATACTATCACGCCCAGCTCTGTAAGCAACATTTATGATTACGTTATGCTGATATAGATAGAGCTTTTCAAATCTGGCTTAAAGCATATATACGTCAATATTGTTAGATGAACATATTTCATTTAAAAAAAATCGGATTTTGCTAGCTGCTGCTACTGCTGTGAAGAAAGGCAACGTGTTTTTTTTTATTTATATTATTTTTCTGTGCAGACTTATATGGAACATCGAACAACAATCTATTTATATTTATTATTTTAAAGTCGGCGTGGCCTAAAGGATAAAAAGGCCCGGTGCTTTCGATGTGAGCGACGCGTTACTCTGGCAAAAATTGTAATACAATTTACGTAATTACTAGTAGTAGGGGCGTTCCCTGAGTCCGCATGGTAGGTATCACCACCCTACCTATTTCTGCCGTGAAGCAGTAATGCATTTCCGTTTGAAGGGCGGGGCAGCTGTTGTACTATAAAACTGAGACTTACAACTTATATCTTGAAGTGGTGGCAGCATTTACGTTATTTCTATGGACTCCGATAACCACTTAACACAAGGCGAGCCATGAGCTCGTCCACAAATCCAAGCGATAAAAAGTGTATCAAAACGCATTAATATAATTGTCGCAAACACAATAATTGGAAACTCACTTAAAATATTCTCATCGCAATTCTTGTTTTTCTGTATCAATAATTCGATCCCGTAACCACCTTGATATTTATATGCAAAAGTCGTATAGCAGCCGTTTTCCATCCTCAGTTCCGGGCATAAATTCCAACTCGGATCCAAAGGGTCCTCAAGCGAATCGCTGCTATTCATTTTTATATAGGGACGGCTGTATTCGTTGAGATCTTCATTGTTGAAACGCAGGACGTGACTACTAAGTTTTATACATTGCTTCTTGTGACAGTCGGCGCAAGGAGATAGGGCGCACAGTGAATCTAGCTGCCGAGGATCCCAGTCGCTTAATTCGTGGCATTCACACTTGCCGCATAAGCAAAAACCGTAATCGTTGCAAACCTTAAATAATAAGTGTTTCATCTATGTTAACTGTATTATGTTTTGTTAAGTGTATATAGCAAATATGTTTAACATAGACCGTAGATACTTGTATAATATGGATCACTAATTACGCTACCAAGAAAATTCGGTAAGTCGTAGGTTGGCGGGGAGATAGGTGCTTAACAAAAGACACAAGAAGAGTATGGGGAAAACGCGTCCATTTAGCCTCAGCGGGACGCCACTCCCGTCTTAGCCCAGTCCCGAAAGTGGGTTGTTGAGCGTCAGCTTTAGTCAGTTTAACTCTGACGCGTCTCGACTACCGCTCATGACGCGTAAGGGAAAGTCCGGCGATTTCCTCATACGAGTACATTACTTTCTATACATTACTTACTATACAGTAAGTAACAGTTACCGTCACTTACGCGCCGGTCAGAGTCCTCGCCGAGCCCGTCGACGAAGGGCCCAACGAGTAAATTAACCCACAGACACAGCCCACTGAGTTTCTCGCCGGATCTTCTCAGTGGGTCGCGTTTCCGATTCGATGGTAGATTCTGCAAAGCACTGCTATTTGCTAGGGCCAGTGCTAGCAACACTCCGGTTTGAGTCCCGTGAGCTCACCTACATGTCAAGGAGCAGCTAAAATAGCCTCTCAAGGCTATCAGCATAGGTAGGGGGAAAAAAACTTACGCGATTATCGTTTCCTTTGCACGTGCTGTTTGATTTGGGACAAGAACATGTTATCCCGGACCACTCGTCTTTGCATTGACATTTACCATCAACACATTCACCGTTGCCGCTCGTAATTTTTTCACAGTCAAGACTGTTGCATTCACAGTATTTTCCTGTGTATCTGTAATTTTAAATAGTTTAAACACAAAGATGTGATTGATGTTTTGCCAAATAATATTTCCGTTCCGGTTGCACTGATGTAGCATAGATACAGATTTTCATCTTTAAATAGGAATATTCTGCGAAATCAATGTAACAGTAATAATAGTGAGCGATATGGTTAAAAATATTTTAAAAATGGTAATATCTCGTAGGATCTCTCGTCTGAAAATTACTAGTATATTTGAAGATCCGTTCGTACGTAAAATTGCCTACCAGCGAACGAACAAACATACTTAAAGACCACACAATAAAAATATAGCTTATATAATTATGTGGAAGTGGGAGCGAGATGTAAGTATACCAGCACAATCTCTTTATAACCTAATAAAAGACTTTGGCATGTCTAGAGCTTGGGTAAAGTATATACTTGAACTAACCAGGGCCGGACTTAGGGGAGGGCAGCCGGGGCAAAAACCCCGAGGACTCCACAAACGGAGGGCCTTCATAATAGATAGAGACTTTAGAAAAAAAACTTTCAAATTAATTTTCAAATTTAAAATGTAAAATTCAAAGTAAACACTACTAAATATCTTTTCCTACGTCCGAAATTTAATATCAGATAATTCTTGTCTCCGTTTATATTTATGTATGTTTGTTAAATATTAAGACAATCTACGTGGTTTCACAATAAATTATTTATTAGAAAACTCGACTGAAAAAAATTGTTCATTTTATTTGTAAAATAATTTGGGGCCAGGGGGCCTCCGCTCCTCTATTGCCCCGAGACCTCCAGACCTCTAAATCTGGCCCTGAACTAACATTCAAAGCCGCACTAGTAGGTCCTTATCAAACTTGACTAGGCAAGGGGGGGAACGTGGAGAATTTAGGTGAGCGTAATATGCATTGATAGAGGCGCCTAAATCAATACTAGGGTTGCATCTTACTGGTGGAAGGACCTTTTGTGAGTCCGCACGGGTAGGTACCACCACCCCGCCTATTTCTGCCGTGAAGCAGTAATGCGTTGCGGTTTGAAGGATGGGGTAGCCGTTGTAACTATATTGAGACCTTAGAACTTATATCTCAAGGTGGGAGGTGCATTTACGTTGTACATGTCTATGGGCTCCAGTAACCACTTAACACCGGGTGGCCTGTGAGCTCGTCCTCCCATCTAAGCAATAAAAAAAAGTAAGCTGGCATTCGTCGTATGTACAAATTACTCTCTTAGCAAAACAATATACCCAGTACCCGCACGGTGAATCCTTGGATTGTTAGGAATTTTGTCTCTCTATTAATAAATATTTACCCGACGTTGATGATGATGATATTATATATGGTATCTCACGTGTTAATTTAAGATATAAACCAATGAAGTAATATGCGAAATTTCATTCGAATCTTGTTTTTTTTTTGAAGTGAAACTTCCTTATCGGCGTTGGAAAAAAATTTACCGTCACATTTTTCGGTTACGCGTCACATTTTTCCGTTACGCGCCATCTTTTAATTAACGGCTGTATGTTCTGAAGTATGGATGCGCATTTGAGAAACCGACCTCATGTCTCAAGGTGGGTCACGGAATACATTTTGTAATTGCAATAATCCCAGGTAACCCACTTAATATCACGTGGACCGTGCTATTATTGTTATTACGTAAAATAATAGGAAGAAAAGTACCAGGGTATTATGATATCAAAGAGATGTATTATTATAACTTTACTCTGACGTACAGCCTTCTTTATTAATTAACGGCTGTATGTTCTGAAGTATGGATTCCGATTTGAGAAATTGACCTCATGTCTCCAGGTGGATTACGGAAATCATTTTGTAATTCCAATAATCTCAGGGAGCCCACTTAATAATATCACGTGGACCGTGCTATTTATTACTGTTATTACGTAAAATAATAGGAAGAAAAGTACCAGGGTATTATGATAGCAAAGAGATTTATTAATAATTAACGGCGGTATGTTCTGAAGCATGGTTTCGGATTTGAGAAATCGACCTCATGTCTCAAGGTGGGTCAAACTTCACGAACCTCAGGAACCCCATTTAACACCACGTGGACCGTGCTATTATTATTAATTTATAGGAAGAAAAGTACCAGGGTATTATGATATCAAAGAGATGTATTATTAAAATGCTGTAATAATCTTAGTAGCAAAAAGGTAAAGTGAAATAATTGTATTATTTGTATTCATGTCTATGATAATAAAATCCTTTTGTTTAAACTTTATCTAATTTAACTTTATTTAACCAATTTCTAGAAAGTTGCATGTAGATCATTTTTCGAAAAATAAGGCCATAAACAAGTTTCACTTCTTACGTGTGTACACTAGTACACGCACACATTTTTTTTTTTTAATTGCTTATGAGTGGACGAGCTCACAGCCCACCTGGTTGTTAAGTGGTTACTGGAGCCCATGGACATCTACAACGTAAATGCGCCACCCACCTTGAGATATAAGTTCTAAGATCTCAGTATAGTTACAACGGCTGCCCCACCCTTCAAACCGAAACGCATTACTGCTTCACGGCAGAAATAGGCAGGAAGGTGGTACCTACCCGCGCGGACTCACAAGAGGTCCTACCACCAGTAAAAGTACCAGTAATAAAATTACATTGAATGATATTTGTATAGATATTAGTATACATACGGATAGGTACAGTGGCAGATACCGCAGAAACACGGGTGACCGCTGCAAATGCTTCCTTCGAAATTACATTCAGAGCTAAAAAATAAATAAATTAAAAGTCCTCTTGATAAATTCAATTTCATACAAAACTCTCGACAGCCCTGAAAACTTATTTACCTAATATGAACCAGAAAACTGAATTAAAAGTGTATAAAGGACCAATGACCAGACAATATTTTAATTACTTTCGCTTAATTACCATAATAGGATAAACACGGTACTAATTTAAAAAAAAAACCATTTGTAATGAATAAAGCCTATTTTTTTGTTTTTAAATGACATGTATTGTTTATTTAATTTAATATACACCAGCTGAACTGAGAAGCCGTATCCGTTTTTAGTGGATTAATAATGTTTTTATATATACAAAATTCTGAAGCTGCAATCTATATATGAAGCAAAAACTTTGTACCCCTTTTTAAGAAAATTGCGCGGACGTACTAGTATGAAATTTCCCACACATATATAGAATATAATGAAGGAGTGCAGAAAGTTAATATTTTTTTAAATTATGCATTAATAATACATTATATAAATCAATAAAAAAAACATTACACACACTACCATGTATTTGACACACACATTATATATACTCTTTGTTTATTGTCAAACCTTTGTTATTGCTTAAAGTCTGTGGTTAAATTGAGAATAAATTAATATTGTTTATCTTTAATATTATTTGTCTAGTGTAGTCTTGGCGAAATCTGTGACTATAGAAATATAATAGTATTTTTTTTTATTGCCCTTGTAGGCAGACGAGCATACAGTCCACCTGATGGTGAGCGGTTACCGTCGCCCATGGTCTTCAGCAATGCCAAGGGCAGAGCCAAGCCGCTGCCTACCGAATTTGACAATAGAACCTTGATAATGTTCAAACTTATAGCTTCAATTAATTATAGTCCAAAAAAATAAATCCATTAACACACTTCCTAACCTTTTTGCATGGCTGACGCACAAACCGTGCAGGCCAAGAAATGGGAGTTTTTTTATTTATTACTAGCGACCCGCCCTCGCTTCGCTTCGGAAACATTAAAACACAAATGAAACCAAAAAATAAAAAATAAAAAAAAGTTAAAAAAAAGTAGCCTATGTTCATCAGGGACAATGTCGGCTTCTAATGGAAAAAGAATTTTTCAAATCGGTCCAGTAGTTTCGGAGCCTATTCGAAACAAACAAACAAACAAATCTTTCCTCTTTATAATATTAGTATAGATAGTCGAATTTCGACTACTGCGGGACTACTAGTTACAGTAAACAGGTACGTACTTTCCGTCGTCACATAAGCACTGTCCGCACTCAAGAGGTCTGCCGTTGCAATATCCCGAGGATTTTTCATTTCCTTCGCACCGGCAATCACTTATAACATCAATATCGATTGATAATTTCTCAGCCAGTCCTTGTACCGAAAATTCGACCGAAACATTGTCCGCACTGTCGTAGTTAAGAATCTCGACTGACCCTTCAAATTTTATAGATTGATCTGTTTTGACCAGGCAGTTCTTATCGTAGTTTCCTTTAGTGCAGTTAGGACTTAAGTGTATCTTCACGTTTTCAATATTTTTCGCTTTAATATCCACGTTCAGCGTGACGTTTCCAATGATTTGCTAACATAAAAAAAACATATGAATATCAGCATAAAAAAATGTAAATATCAGAATCAGAAAAAAAATTTGAAGGGTGGGGCAGCCGTTGTAACTATAGTGAGACCTTAGAGCTTATATCTCAAGGTGAGTGGTGTATTTACGTTTTAGATGTATATGGGCTCCAGTAACCACTTAACACCAGGTGGGCTGTGAGCACGTAGATGGAGCCCATAGACATCTACGACGTAAATGCGCCACCCACCTTCAGATATAAGTTCTAAGGTCTCAGTAGAGTTACGACGCGACGGCTGCCCCATCCTTCAAACCGAAACGCATCACTGCTTCACGGCAGAAATAGGCAGGGCGGTGGTACCTACCCGTGCGGACTCAGAAAAGGTCCTACCACCAGTAAAAATGCCCTTATTATACACCATTACTTATACATTATTACAATCCCCAATTAAGATGTATGCTAATACCTTGTATATTTTCTTTAAAGTTTGACCTGTAGTGTCGTATGGATTAATCGGTTCATTGACCCAGTCGTCTATGTACGAACCAGATATCACATCTGACAAACTCTGGTAAGCTGATTTCACAGTTGATTCAACTAGAAACAGTACTGTCACTTTGTAATGATCGACAAGTTTATTAATCATGCCAACGCTAGGGTAATCCATTGTCAATTCTCTCTTATATCTTTTGTTCTTTAAATCCGTGTAACACTGTCCGTCATATGGCTCAAATATACCGGATACTCTTCCGTCGCCGGCGTCATGGTAATTGTTGTTGGTTAGAACGACTATGATCTTTCTAGATTTTTCACGCCATCCAATAAGCTTATCGCAGACAATAGCTTGGGCTATAGCGTCCAGGCATCCAGTTGGTGGATCACGATTGTAGCCCGTGGGTGTGGATTCTAAAGCAGTAACGAATTTCTGATGGTCTTTTGTCAAACTCAATTCATGAGCGAATGAGTAGCTTTCTTTACCATTCTCCTTCCTGTAATTTATATTCGAATATATTTCGGAATATTTTTTTTGCATTGTTCTAAGGAAGCTTATAAACTTAATCATTACAAAACTTCCTCAAAGCTATTTTAGCAGACACCAGTGTTTGCCGTAGATAGAGGAAGTCGAAAATTGATGTGCATCCCCATTGATGTTGAGTGGCAACCAGAGTCCATACATATAACAAAGGATATGCCGCTGCCAATCTCGACAATTGAGGTCTTAATGGAAACGTAGCGCTTTTACTACTGATGTAAAATAGTTAAAGAAAATAGGAGGAAATAAAGGAGAGACAAGAAGAATTTGAGAACAATGAGGTAGTTGAAGATAAGATATTCGAAATGATTCTACTGAATTAATGAATTTTACTGTACTTACCACGTGTTTTTATCTATAAATGTACCCACTCCTAAAGTAAAGTCGTTCGTCAGAGTCTCCAGGGTTTTGTAAAGGCCGTCGGCTTTGCTTGCAATATTCTTTATTTTCGTTCCCATCATAGCGGAGGCATCCAACAAGAAATACACATCAACGGGATTGTCCTTGAAATCGTAGGTGAAATTGAACTTTTGTGGTTCACCTATACGAAGTTTCATTTCGTATTTCAACGGTTTGATTTGTTTGTTCTCGTTCGATTCAATCATTATACTATTCGAGAGTTCATTGACTGGTACCGACTCAGGACACCAATCTGCCTCATACGAAGAACGAGGGATACATCTGGTACGGTTAAACGCTTTCTGTAAAGAATATAACACTTTATTTTTATTGGTATACTTCAATTTATCGTTGTCTCTTTCGTTTAAAGTCTTATCTTGAAGAGTCCTGAATGATTTTCTCAGTATAAATCTAAACGCTTTTGCATAATTTTTTTCCTGCGAAGTCAGATCAGCATTCGTCCCATCTTACACTCAAAGGTGTGTCATGAATGTGGCTAACACTAGGCAAACAGCCGTTCACTACAGCTAAAGACTCATTTCAAATCTCGCTTCCTAATGCTCACAAAACATTCGTAAAAAGAAAGTTTGTATCAGCCGGATTTGAAATGGAAAAAATTATTTCTAGAGACACACTGTGCATGGATACAGTGGTAGTAATGTTACGCGCTGGTGTTGGGGATAAATAAAAATTCTACCGAAGTACAAGTTAACATAGAGATAGAGAATATTCCACAAAAGTCTAGTATTGTGTGTTTCCGTATCTGACAATAGATGGCGTTGTACTTCTCGAGCGATCTAAATGCTACTAGATCCTTCGATATTCGTTCGACTATTCGGCGATAGATGGCGTTACTCTTACAGGCGTAACAGGAAGAATAAATTCTGCTACGGCACCGATGGTAAAAATGACCTGACGGGATCATCTCAAGTAATTCCTCTGCGAATTCATCGTTGAATATGACATAATAAATAAAACATCGAATCCTTCTTAGTCCAAGAGATTTCAAACGAATTTTGATATCAGGATTTACGATAATCTGTGCAGCCCTCGTCTACTTATACGTTAAGAGCATTAAGATGGTCCGTAGGAGACAAGTCCACTCAGAGCTCTTGTCGTACCTAATATCTCCGCAAAGCTACTCATTCTAGTCCAAAGGATTGGACAGCATTAATACAATTGATACCTCGATCTTATTCTGATTTTGATATTAAATCCTTTATTCAAGGTCAGTGACAGCAGTCATCTGGGACCTCTATGGGCCTACGGTAACGATTAAACATCAAGTGTTCGTTAATCTATTACTCAAGTCAGTGATATCGTTAAAAAAAAAAAAGTACTTACAGCAGCACACCAAACGCAAACATTCGGATTTCTTATACACTCTTTACAATTTTCAGATTTTTCGCATAGGTCAATCAATAAACATTCTTTTAGAAGTAAAAAAAATAAAAGGTAATGTACAAACATTTTTAGTTGGTAACTGAATTTCACTGAATAACTCGTGGAAATATATATCTGTAATAATGTGCTACAAAATAACTTTGCTGCCATTATCCTGTTGGACAAATTAAAAACATAAGGCTTAGTGTACATGTGTGCCTATTCAATCGCCGTTTTGGTTTTCCAAAGATTTTTGACAGTTTTGTTTTTAACACATTATTCAACTTTTTATTTATTACTTAGATGGGCCACCAAAGTGCAAAGGAAAAAATTAGAAACATGCCAAATTAGAAACAGTTATACGCAACAAGGTCGCACTAAGATACAAAATGTTTCAATTAGAATGCGCAAACTATAATGGCAATGGACAGGACAGGAATAGGAGGCATCGAAAAATTTAATAAAACAGGAATGACAATGGACAGGACAAGAATAGGAGGCATCGAAAAATGGAACAAAAACATAGTGTTTTGGTACCCTAGAGATAGAAAAAGGAAACGAGGCAGACTGATTCAGAGGTGGGAACACGAGATAAAGACGGTAGCAGGAAAACTATGGACAAGGAAAGCTCTAAGCCGAGTAGAGTGGAAGATGGAGGAGGCCTTTGCCGGGGTTGGGCAAACATATGAAGTTGTCGATGTTACCAACTCGGCAGAGTCGTTAATTTAAGTTTATTATTTGTAAATATCCTTTTTGCGTCTGAATAAAGGCTTTTATTATTAGATGGATAGACGAGCTTACGGTCCACTTGGTATTAAGAGCTACTAGAGCCCATAGACGTCTGTTTCTACCGTGAAACACTAATGCGTTCCGTTCCGAAGGATGGGTCAGATGGACTGGTTAATAAGATAGGCGTTATTCACAATGTCATTTCTGTGGTTCCGGTAAACACTTAATATCAGGTGGGCCATCAACACGATCAACGGTTTATTCAGTAAGCTATTAAATACTTAGATAACTCATTCGATTTAAATCAGACGATACAGCTTACAGTTTACACTTACCTTTTTGTGTTCGTATTTATATCGCGTTACGTTATTGTGGTCATGTTTTCCTGCATTTATATTTGTACGCTTCGTTTATGACTAGTTGTGATCGTGTAGGGCTCACGAAGCTATGTTTCGTTTAACGAAAGTCACTGTTCTTATGATTTATTTTTGTTTCGCTAGTGGCACTTCCATTTGTGGACAGTTCAAGACATGTAGTTCGTGTATAAGCTACGCTTCGGAGAGGTGCGTCTGGTGTAGCGAGGTACGTTCTGATGTCGAACGGCTGACGGAGCCAATAAAAGGCCAAATCTGCTGTACAGCTTATAAGGTCTTTTTTTTAATGGATACAACGTCACTGCTACATTCGAAGCGGAGCGCATCATTGTTTCCCTACATTTCTGTCTGTGATTACAATGTGTCCCAACCCTAGTGTTTAAGACAGCTACTTTGAGGTTAGGATTTAAAAAAATATAGTTGAGAATAGTGATTCTACACCTCAATGATAAATCCTGAATAACATTTCCTTCTCCAAACGAGGCCCGAGAAGAGTATTCAGCGATAGGCAACGGTTTGGTTCTGCTCCTGGCTTTGCTGACGTTCAAGAGCAGCGGTAACTTCTCACTCTCACTATGGACCATATGCTTGTTTGTCTAAGAGGACAATGAAATAAATAATTTTGTTTTTTTTTATTGCTTTGATGGGTGGACGAGCTCACAGCCCACCTGGTGTTAAGTGGTTACTGGAGCCCATAGACATCTACAACGTAAATGCGCCACCCACCTGGAGATATAAGTTCTAAGATCTCAGTATAGTTACAACGGCTACCCCACCCTTCGAACCGAAACGCATTACTGCTTCACGGCGGAAATAGGCGGGGTGGTGGTGGTACCTACCCGTTAGAGTTTGTTGGTGACGCTTTCTTATATCTACTGTAAATTAGGCGAACATTATGCACGCTGTGGAATCTTTAGAATCCGTAAATCGCTTAAAACTAAGTGGGCGCTTAAAACTAAGTGCAATCATGAGAGGTAGAGAGTATATTCAAGCAGTAGTGGAAGTCCTCACCTGTCTCTTTCTTCTTATTCTCCCATAACTTTTCCTGTATTAACTGATCGAAAAAATAAAAAAAAGACTATTGCTGTTTTAGGCTGAAACAAAGCACACTAGATGTCAACCTGAAATCTTCGCAAGCGACCAAACTTGGTGCAACAGTTCTTTTATTTACAACCCTAAATTTGAAAAGTTTGAAGAACAACACGTGCCCTATCAAAGTGTTGATGATCACGGCAGAAAGACGATCGTCACACCTGGTCACATCAAAATTAAAGTACGACCTGGTGTTCCAGTCGATTTTAAAATGCTTTATAAACCTATAGAGCATTTCCCGCTCGATGTTTATTTTCTCATGGATAACTCTTATACTATGAGACAATTTCAGAACGAACTAAAATCACAGGCTATTAATATTTTGAAAGAATTAAGTGCTTTCACAAAGAATGTTCGATTGGGATTCGGAACCTTTGTAGAAAAACCAGTTTATCCATATTACGATAAAAACAGGTAACCATTCGTCCTTTTTCTTGACCTAGTTTTTTACATTCATCCATTATGTTCATATAAGGTACCTGATATTTCAGATACCAAAAGTCCATACCGTTTGAAAATGTATTATCCTTAACGGCAGACATATCGAAATTGAACAACACAGTTCGCCAAATCGATTTTGGTTCAAATTTCGATGACCAAGAAGCTGGCTTAGATGCTCTGATGCAGGTTATGACCTGCACCAAAGAAATAGGGTGGCGAACAGAAGCAAGACGTATTATAGTACTCTTCACTGACGCGCCGTATCATAGTATGGGAGACGGTAAAATGATCGGCATATTAAAACCGAATGATATGGAATGCCACTTAAAAGATAATATTTATGACGATACAGCAACGACACAAGATTACCCGTCTGTAAGCCAGATAAATAAAGTAGCGACAGAAAGAAATTTCAAAATCATATTTGCTACTATTGAAAGGGTATCCGAGGTTTACAAAGAATTGTCAAATGCAATACTAGGATCAGAAACAGCAATTTTAATTAAAAAAGAGGAAGGGGAGTCAAATATTGTGCCTATAATTAAAACTGCCTATTTGGTACGTACCTATATGAGTCTCAATTTAGAATGGCAATAAACTGTTGATTTCCAATATCAATTCTAATGTGAAATTTAAATTGCAGGAAGCCGAAAGTGTTGTAAGGCTAGTATCTGATTTTCCAAGTTCAGTTAATGTCAAGTATAGTCCGGATTGCAATGAAATTGAAAAGAAAAATTGCAGAAGTACACATTTAAATCCCATTGTAGAAATAAATGTTACAATAGTTGCTGGATCGTGTCTCGATGGAAATTCTTCTAGAGTCTTTAAAATAAGTCCGCATGGTCTTCATGATATTCACGTAGGTGTTGAGTTAGAGGTTGACTGTCAATGTGAATGCGAGAAGGTGAAAAAAGAGAAGAGTCCCGTTTGTTTTAATGCTGCGTATTTATTGTGCGGTGTATGCATCTGTGACAGGTAAGGTTTACTAAAACAAAACATAGCTTAAGCATACCGAAAAAAATGTATGCGCGCATGACTATTAACACTAAACATTATTTTTGAAGTGGGACTACAATTTCAACCGTGTTAACGTGGGATAGAGAATTTAGCTTTTAACTGAAACTTAATGATATAAGCTTACGCAAGGTGATGTGGTATCTCCCACAGAATTTGGGTTTTTTCTACAAATCCAAACGCTAACAGAAGATAAAACTCGTCTGGTTTCCCAAAGGGATGTGTGTTGTTTGAATATTTACACTAAACTGCATGTCACAGTGGTTGTTGATAATGATGTTGACCTCTCATTACTTTGGTTATCAAAACTATCGGCTTCTGGGTGTATATGTTTTTTTGGAAGAAAGGATTCGTTTGGCTCCCAAAGCCTTTGGGATTTGTTAACAGTTATCCGAGCATTTCCGAACTACAATGCTACGATGGCCTGGCTATGCTATACTTGCTAGCGGGCATAAACGAAAATAAGTTTGTATCCAACTTTCTAATAGAAGATTCAATTAAATATTCGCTTAATTTTAGTGACAGTAAGGAATCAAACGTGGCTGAAGATTTAGAAAGCCCTCATTGTAGATATCATGGACAATACGTGTAAGTTGGTTTTTATATCATTTTTGGTTTTTCTATCATTTTTTATGAGACATGTTGGTAATCAAAAAATTCTACTCGGGTCTTAACTGCAACTGTTTAAGTGGTATTATACAGCATCCCTAAAATCCCTTAGATTCAAGACAGTATTTTCTCGTGTACATAATGTATGAAAGTTTATTAATCATTTAAGACATTCTCGAATACTGAAGTCCGTGAATGACGCCTCAAACAATGAATGACATTTGAGACTTCTGAGTGAGTTGAGACAAGTAGAACGTCTGGTCGACTGCCCAGCGTTCGAAATTGGTTGGGCGCTATTATACTATGTACCGTTTATGGATTAAAGGTAACCTTTAAACGTTAAACAATCGTCCTCGCCGGAAATTTTCAAGTCCAGATTGAAATCGCACTACTTTGCTTCTATGATATAACTGTATAAGTTCCTACTTCTTTTGTATTCTATCTTGTATATTTTTAGTATTTATTTGTATTTAATCGTATGTAAGTTTATCTTATATGGTATTCATTTTTCACATGTGTATTTAAGTATATATTTTTATGTAAGTTTATTAAGATATAGCACCGTCCAGTTAACTTATTCCTCTCCCTGCAAGGTTGCCTGGAAGAGATCGCTTTCAGCAATAAGGCCGCCGATTTATATCACCGAGTTTTGTTTTATTAGTTTAATCTGTACATATTAAGGTGTTATATAAATAAGGAGTTATATTATTATTATTATTATGTACCTAGTTAAATATACGTTTAACCCGCGCTACAAGTACCCAATTTATTGATTTTGATTACTGAATATTTAACATTCTACAAAAATTATGTAGCACGTTGTCACATTAAGAACAAACATTAAATGAACAATGAACAAAAAATTAACAACGTAATTGCGGCACCCACCATGAGATACAAGTTCTAAGGTCTCAAGTATAGTTACAACGGCTGCCTCACCCTTCAAACCGAAACGCATTACTGCTTTACGGCAAAAATAGGCAGGGTAGTGGTACCTGTGAGTCCGCGCGGATAGGTTACTTATAATACACTAGCGACCCGCCCTCGCTTCGCTTCGGAAACATTAAAACACACATGAAACCAAAAATAAAAAATAAAAAATAAAAAAAAAGTAGCCTATGTTCATCAGGGACAATGTCGGCTTCTAATGGAAAAAGAATTTTTCAAATCGGTCCAGTAGTTTCGGAGCCTATTCGAAACAAACAAATCTTTCCTCTTTATAATATTAGTATAGATATAGATAACGACGAGGTGAGTTTTTTTTATGGCTTGGCTTGCAGTTGGGTGGCGCATTTACGTTGTAGATGTCTATGGGCTCCAGTAACCACTTAACACGGGGTGGGCTGTGAGCTCGTCTACCCATCTATGCAATAAATAAATAAAAAAGCACTACACGACATGCGCTGTAAAAAGAGAAAAAAAATGTGTTGTACTTATTACATTATTTATATTTTAGTTGCGGCCGTTGTATTTGTAAGCCCGGATATTCAGGTGACACGTGCGAATATGATGATAATTTGTGTATGAGTAACTGCAAAAAGGGAACGTGCTATATGGGTAAATGTAATTGTCAAGAGGGCTGGTCGCCTCCGAACTGTATGTGTCCTGTAAGCAACAAGGATTGCATAGCGCCGTGGTCAGACGAGAATGAGGTAAAGATTTAAACCTTTGCTTCTACGAATATGGATTATCACAATGAATTGTGCAATGTGTATTACAAAACTTATAACTGGTGGTAGGACCTCTTGTGAGTCCGCGCGGGTGGGTACCACCACCCTGCTTAATTCTGCCGTGAAGCAGTAATGCGTTACGGTTCGAAGGGTGGGGCAGCCGTTGTAACTATACTGAGACCTTAGAACTTATATCTCAAGTTGGTTGGCGCATTTACGTTGTAGATGACTATGGGCTCCTGTAACCACTTAACACCAGGTGGGCTGTGAGCTCGTCCACCCATCTAAGCAATAAAAACAAACAAAAAAATGCGCAACTAAACATGCTATTATTTAGAATTCAGAATGAGATACTAATAGTAAGCATCTGGAGGGGGCTGGCGTCACACATAAAATGTCTTCTTAATAATATCAACTCAATATTCATCTAAAACGTTTAGATAACTTTTTGTTTCTGTAACCAAAAGGTTTGCTTCGGCAACGGGGAATGTAAATGTGGAGAATGTTCCTGTGATAAAGTTAGCGGCAAAAATGAATCGTATTTCGGCACATTCTGCGACTTATGCACTGATTGCGCCGCAAAATACTGTAAAAAATATGAAGACTACGTATATTGTAATTACTTGAACGAAAAGGCGTTTTGTGATCAATCATTCTTAAGCGGAAAGGACACGGTTGTTAAGATTGTTAATTCAACGGAAATCATAAATGATAACATTCAAAAGGCTACTTGGTGTGCCAAGCTATTGGATAACGGAACATCGATTGTGTTCAAATACCACCACGAGGACAATAAACTTTTTTTGACTATACAAAAGGAAAAGCAGATACCGCCTAAAGCTAATTTATATAGTGAGTACATTGACCCTTTTACTAATATTTGATTGACTCGGTGGGGCTCTAGTTTGATAGGCTGAAGATCTATTGTCGGTTTGAATACCACGTCATCATCGAAAACCTTCGTAGAACGAACGGGCTTGTAGCTAAATGCCTCAGTTTAATATCTACTTTTGTTTATTTAATGATCGAAATTCAACTTTATTCACTGCCGCATAAAAATTAAATTTCGCATACGTTTTTTCGCATATTAAATTGTCTCGTTCGTTTTGTGTTGACATTATGAAGAAAATAAACTGACTACTCCTAAAACATTGATGACGCCCAAAGTTGTCAATAGTTACTAACCAAAACATACAGAAAATCGGAAGAAAAACAATGGAGAACATAACATGTATTTCTGAATTTATATATAATAATATATATTAATTCTTATTTATTATACATTTAAACGCAAGTAATATGTAATATTACTGATTTATTATCGTTGTCTTTGTCCCAGAGTACAGACAATTCTAGTCTAAAGCCATGTGTTATTTGTCCCATTTTTTTTTATTGAATTATACATTTTAATTAATATAAATCAATTGTATCGTGTGTAACGGAACACAATTTGAATAGATTGTCAGAATTTCGTTTTTTATTAATTTCCATCTATTCAAGTTCCATCAAAATTGTTCAAAACCCAGGATTTAGTAAAATCGAAAAACCTATAAAAACTTGTATCGTAGCTATACATAGGTACTACGAGTATAACTCATTTATAAATGGCTTTTATTACATTTTCAGTTGTTGTGGGTAGTGTGATCTCTGCTATTGTATTGATTGGCTTGCTGACTCTCATCGGATGGAAGGTTTTGACAGATATCTACGATCAAAGGGAATACAGGAAAGTGGAAGAAGCGGCCAAAGCCGCCGGCTTTGATGTTTCAAATCCTTGTTACGAAAACCCGACTACAGAATTTCCGAATCCATCTTACAGACCTACGAAATAGACAATGAAAAAAGTAGATTATGTTCTTCAAGTACACCACATTTTTCATAGTATTAAACAACTTAATAAACTTATTTATAATTTGTTTTAATTTTAACCTGTTCCTGTTATCGGAATTATCTTTTCAATCAAGCTCTTGTTTTTTGCATTCCAAACAATTAATACGAAAAATATTGAAACCATATTACTAGGTCCATAATAACTACTCCAACTCTCAAAACAAATATAAAACTTATTACGACGAATGTTACTAAATTTCAAAGACAAAAGATGCTGTTTGATGTGACGAAACAGTCGGAGCGGCGCCGGCGGGGTTTTTATATGTTTGTGTGTATTTCAATCAGCTGACATCACGTGAATTTTTTGAGTTCGCGGAATTTGATTAGGCCGGCGCGGGCGGCACTATCGCGTTTGCTGCTTATTCGTATAACTTACTGAGTTCTAATTTATATGATCATTTTTACACTATTTGATCTTTACCTTGATTTTACTCTTTCGAGCGGTGAACTTTGTTTACGGATATCTTTGAGAGATAAAAGTAATTCAAGTTATCACTTACATATCTGAGATCTAGAGGATACAGATTGTTCATCACGTGCTGAAGAGGACTTGATGAAAGCGATATCACAGAGACAGTGCCTATTTGGCGGAGAAAAACTTATTCAGTCTGCGCGCTTAAATGCGCACGACCAGTCTTAATGGTTATTTCCTGCTGTGAAGCAGTAACGCTTTTCGGCTTGAAGGATGGGGCTTGAAGGATGGGGTAAAAACTGAGACTTGGAACTCATGATTCAAGGCAGATGACGGCATTAACTTTGTTGATATCTATGGGATTCGGTAACCACTTAACACCAAGTGGCCAGTGAGCTTCTCCAACAATCTAAGCAATAAAAAAATAACTTTTTTTGACACGTGGCCTGTCTTATTTTTAACTACGAATCATATTACGGTACCATAAATAAAAAACCAGTTCAAGAGTTGCCCGAATAATAGTTTGTTCTTTCTGTTCAAGTAGGTACTTTTTGTTCCAAAATTATTTACTTGTGAACTTTTTTTTTGTCGAATCGATAATTCTACTAGACCACTATCTACAGTTTACGGCTTCATAAATACCTTTTAGTTGGACCAAAACGAGTATTTGTCTAGGTACAAAGACAAAAACCAAATTATATACTCCATATCAATAAAAATAATTTGAAAATCAACTTTTAATTTATTAATTTATTTCTTAATTTACAAACTACACACACACATTTTACTTTACATCACAAAATATATGTATTTTAATTTTCAAGTAATATAACTTTGAACATTAGTAAATAAATAGTAAAACAAAACTTCGAAACATTAGACGTATTTTTAGGATGACATTATAAATATTACATTGTAAAATTTTCATATACCTACTTTCTAATTTTACTCTAGAAATTACACACAAACACACAGTCAAGAAACCAGATAATTTTAGATGAATACAATTATTTTTTGTGGTAGTGTTTCTGTTTATCTTCATTTTTGCGGAGACGCGTTGGACGTTCGTCATGTTCGTAAACGTTGTTTTTGCGGCTTTCCTCAACATTCAGGTTTGGAATAACCGCCTATAATTCAACAAACATATTTTATGTAATTATTATTCAATAGTTACCCCTAAAGTATAAAAAAAAAATTATCGCGTAAAAACATGGTAACTTGCTGACACTTGAGCATTGCATGTTTCATGGGGTACTTGTCGTCAAAGCAGTAAATACTAAAGTGCGAAAAAATGTTAGCTATCATTTATGGGATGACTCAGTTAAAGAGTGCAGTCAAACGAACCATAGCTTCTACCCTGTTCTCATACCCGATCCTGTAGACAGAATGGTAAACAGTCGACGTCGTCCAAAACACGTCATTACGGATCCTCCCGATCCATTAACGGTGCTTTTAGGTACCACAAGCACCGGTCACCGTCCTCGTCGAACCCGTCGCTTGCGACGAAGGGCTCGACGAACGAATTAACCCATAGACACAGCCCACTGAGTTGCTCGCTCGGAGCTGCTTCGGCAAGCCAATTGCGGCACACTTTTTTTTTTTATTGCCTTTGTAGGCAGACGAGCATACGGCCCACCTGATGGTGAGTGGTTACCGTCGCCCATGGACTTCAGCAATACCAGGGGCAGAGCCAAGCCGCTGCCTACCGAAAACTTATTTTTTCGTTTCGTTTCATTTCGTTTCATTGAGTTTGAAATTACAACGATTCTAGAGAAGTTTCACTTCAAAAAACTCAAAACATTACCCTGTTGCTCTCAGCCCTGGATCGACGCGGTCGCGACTTAACGCTCAACAATGTAGCGGCAATGTCTCCGGCCGCTCGTCTCTCGCGTTTTCTGACAATTCCGCATCCAATCTTACAAGTGCAGTCCCTATAAGGAGTTCGCACGTTTATTTTTAAATCAGATAATCTTTACAATGTCTGGTTCGAGACGAAACCGGAGAATCACGTCCTATCAACCGCAGACGACTTTACAAAGGTAATGCTGAGAGAAACCTAATTTCAACCAGCAGGTTTGGCTGAGGGAGAACTATATATACGTAGTTTTTACAGCTTATATGTATAACTAGCGATCGGCCCTCGCTTCGCCTTGGGGAACATTTAATTTTATTATTAATAGCTGAGTCCCGCGGGTGACGCGCGGGGCGAAGATAGTCTAAAAAAAGTAGCCTAAGTTACTTTTTATATAATCATGATAGGTAATCAGTGAAAGTCTCGTCAAAATCGGTCCAGCCGTTTCAGAGGTTAACCGGAACAGACAGACAGACAAAAATTGTAAAAAATTTTGTTTTGGTGTATTTACCGTATATAAATGCATGTAGTAAAAAGCGGTTATTTCAATATTACAAACAGACACTCCAATTTTATTTATATGTATAGATGTATAACAATTATTGGGATTTAAAAGTATAACTTAGTATTATTTTAAGGTAGCTGTATTACAATTAAGATTTTTAACCTGACCCAACGAAAAACAATAGTATCAGGCAATAGATTAGCCAGCACCTAAAGAATGACCATTATGAAGTACGGAAGCTGTTGTCCATTAGAGTTTGACAATATTTTCTAAAAGTATAGACACTAACAAATTATTATTTGTAATGGATTCCGCTGGTGCTGAAGTTTTGATGCCGAAATCCGTCCTCGGACTCGTAGAACGTGACCTCGGGTTGCTCCTGAATACGGCTTCCCTGATCTCTTGTAACGCTCTCCTCTCTTGTGCTACCTTACGATCAAGATCTGCAACTGAACCCATAAAAAAAACTTCCTTTGTAAATATGTAATAACTAGCTGTACCCGTCCGCTCCGCTGGGCATTTAAAATTGACATTTTTATTTCTCACCCCCACAAAGATTCTCATTCTTAACGCCCCCGCAACTAGTGTAGGGAGTCCAACACTTCATAGATATTAGCCTATCTATTAAGTACATGTATTTTTTACATGCCGGCGGCCGTTGTAACTATACTTGAGACCTTAGAACTTAATTCTCAAGGTGGATGGCGCATTTACCTTGTGGATGTCTATGGGCTTCAGTAACCACTTAACACCAGGTGGGCTGTGAGCTCGTCCACCCATCTAAGCAATAAAAATAAAATAAAAATGTAAGATAAAGGAGCTTAATATAAATAAAAAAGTAGATATTTTATTTACTGTGCTGCTGTGTATGTTTCTGTTTAGTTAACAGCTCCGATTCCAATGTATTGATTTTCATTTGGAAGGCCTCCTCCTTATTCAATTTCATTTTCCACGTACGACATATTTTCAAATGTAAGAAAGATAGTTCTTGAGCGTCAAGCGACTGAAACAATTTGGTCTTTTCTCAATCTCAATCGATACTGTTATTTATTATACAATGAGAACAATACCTAAGCAAAAAGAAAGAAATGGATATCGTGGCGTTAGGGAGAGAAACACGGGTGTGCCTGTGAGCTAGGCGAATTTCAGGAGTGACCTTCCGATGTGCACTCTCACTGCCCACTTTTCCCCAGCCAAGCCAAGTTTTGATACTACTATAAGAATTGTTGGATGTTTCAATAAGAAATTCAAGATAGTACTTAAGAAAGTGTTTAGTACAAGGAAGAGAGGCTTTCCCAGAGCAACTTGGCGTCGCTCGGTGCAGCAGGAGCTAGGTTTCTTAGTCATGGACTTGGGAGGAGCTAGAACAGACTGCCCAAGACCGATGTAAATGGAAGGATTTGATTCGAGCCCTACACCCCAGCAGAGGGTAATAGGATAGAAAGAGAAGAAAAGAGACTTAAGAGACAAAGGACTTTGAAAGCCAGGCCTCTAAATTCAAAATTTTTTTTTTTTTTTCCTACCTAAGCTGATAGCCTTAGGGGCTATTTCAGCGTAACCGTGGCTAGTAGGTGAGCTCACGGGGCTCAAACCTGATGATGTTGCTAACACGAACCCTAGCAAGAGCCGTGCTTCGCAGAATCTACCACCGGATCGGAAACGCGACCCACTGAGAAGATCCGGCGAGAAACTCAGTGGGCTGTGTCTGAGAGTTAATTTACTCGTCGAGCCCTTCGTCACAAGCGACGGGTTCGACGAGAATGGTGACCGGTGCTTGAAGTACCTAAAAGCACCGTTAGTGGATCGGGAGGATCCGAGATGACGTGTTTTGGGCGACGTCGACTGCTTTCCGTTCTGTCCGCAGGATCGGGAATGAAAAAAATACTTTAACAGCTACATTATTACTGCAATAAGGATAACGTTTATTATTTTGTGGTTGTTTGTTCGTTTTGAGCAAAAATAGAAACATTGGTGATACCAATCGGCGTCAGACATTTTCCTTGTAACGGTCCACCTAATTTACGTTTGGCATGTTATTTATGGACACTGCAGGTAATTTTGACATGTAAAATGGTGTAAGATTACCATTTGTAAAGGGCGGTTGAATTGTTGTTCTTTTCTGATTTTTTTTTTGAATTTTTTTTCCTATGAAATTTTCCTATTATTTATAGATAAAAAAAATGTTTACAACTAAAATAAAATAAAATACATTTTAAAATTGTACGTAACAAAGGCAAACTGAAGCCATTAATAATATCGTTACTTACTTAGCTAGCTTACTTTTAAGATAATTAGGAAGAGAATGTATCGAGGTACTTTGACTTGTGTATTTTTTGAATAATTAATATATCTAGTTGGCTATAAATTATGCACGGTTTTAGGAAATTGCGTTTATGTTAAGATATCCTTTTTAGAAATAAGTTTTTAATTTCTATTTCTAAATCTCACATATGAAAAAATATAGACGTAATAATAAAATTTTATTACTCTATAGGCTTAATTGTGTTAGGATACTATTATATATAGGTAATAAATAAAACGTATAACCTGCGACCTGACTGTGGTATATTGGCTTAACGTAATTGTGGTACGTAGTTGACGACAACTCTTGAATTTTTTGAGCTATCTTAACTAGCTTTAAATAGCTTTATAGACATAATGCTTTAGAAAATGTTAACTGGAAATGGAAAATGTGGGTAGGTCTCCCTCAAGATGGACCGACGACCTATTGAGGTTTGCGGGAAACCGCTGGAGGGAAGCAGCGTAAGACCGATTTTTGTGGCGAGGCTTGGGGTAGACCTATGTCCAGCAATGGTCGTCTATGGGCTGATAGAATAGAATGGAAAAACTCAACATCTTTAACTTGTAACATTACTAAACTTTTCTAATTAGATTTAGAACAATAGAGATCAAAGACAAAGAAGTTTACCTTTACGCTGTCACTTAAAATTTTGTTCAAAATGTATTTTAGATACGTGCGCTCGGCCAATTTCCTTTGGTCATTGTCAACTTGCTGAAATATATTTCGTATAGTATCGGACATGTTTACATCCAAGCTACATGTGCAAGGGCCATGTATACGTGTTTTTGGCTTCACGTCAAACGCTTCGACATTAGTCTGCGTGAGAACTTTTCGTTGAAGTTGTGTGTTTCTATGACTACTGGATTCTGAAGGAACCTCCTGATCCTAAATAGAATATAATAAACCTTTAATAAGCTTACAATGATATTAGGATTATAGATAGGTAACTAGCGTTTGATTTGCCTTTTGAACCTGTAAAGATGTTAAGTATTATTCCATAAATGAACTAAGTACCTATTACATGGTTTTAAAATAAGACGGTTCATATGTTTAATTTATTTCTCAGTTGTAGTTTAAAAGTACACGATTAATAAGGAAAAGTACATAGATACCTCGTCGAAACAAGCTAGACCGTTATACTGCTCCTGATGTTTTAGCAAGCTATTGTCCTTCTCTAGTTTGTCTGCCTTCTTCATTGCTTCAATACTTAATGTCCTTAAGTTCTCAATTTCATTTTCGCGTATTTTAATAATATCATGCAACGTCTCTTCGTGTAGATTTTGTAAATTATTAACTCCATTGTCGTGCTCTTTTTTAATATTCTTTATGTTGTTATCGTATTGCAGTTTTAAAGCGTCAAGTTTCTTTTTAAAGTCCTCTTCCGTGTTTTTTAATGTTTTCTTTAATGCATCAATTTCTTGCTCGTATTTTTCATAATTATCCAGTCTTACCAATACTCCCTGGTCTTTGAACTTAAGAAATTGATTTTTAGAGAGGTTATGAGCCATAGTTTTAATTCCATTACGAGAACTAACTGAAGAAAGATTGCTTTCATCATTGAAATCTAATAAAGAGAAGCTTAGTATAGAAGCACTTTGAGTTTTCCGTGTGGAATATGAATTTTCGTTATCGGTATTCTTAAGATTTCTGTCTAGTTCAATTGTATCGAGAACATAGTTTAATGCAATTTTAGTTCTCAATTCATTTTGTGTGGAATTTTTCGATTTAGACTTTGTTTGAAGATTATTGTTTAAAGGATTTACTGCCAGATCGGAGCTATTAGGTCTAGAAGTCACATTTAGAGTTTCGGTATCATTGGCCAATGAGATTGTTTGGCCGCTGACATTACTCTTCTTTATATTGTTTTGATAGTTTTCGGAATAAATACTATCAAAAATAGAATTCACTTTTTCTTGATGACTATTAAATGGTTCGAGTTCTGTCTTTGGAGGTTTTTCGATAGCCTCTGAATTTAAGAATGTCGTTTCCGAAGGTTTTGCCATATGAAATGTATCTGAAGAACTTGTTTCACTTTTCAGGGACAATGACTGCGATGAGTTTATTAGTTCAACACGAGGCAACTTCACATTAATACCACGTTTGGTAGCTATATTTTCATCAGTCTGTGTATTCGTGCTTGGTTCACGTTTTTTAGAACGATAGTCAGCTGTGTTCTGGTTTTTAGGATGGATTTTTAAAGTTTCTACTACTTCGGAATGATTCTGGTGTGGCCAAGAAGTGGGTTCTTTGGACCTTCCCGTACTAGGAGTATCAGTTTCACTACTTTTGTATACAATAAACATATCAGTTGAATGAACAGATTCCGGTATTTTTCTTTTTGTTTCATCATTGTGTTCAATGTCGTTAGTTTTAATTTCACTTCCGTAATTATTTTTAAAATCTGCTATATTTTCTATATCATTGATATTATGTTTCACAGGATGTATATCTAAAGAAGAACTATTTTTTGAGGTATCGTTGTAATTCAATGGCTTCGATACCTTTCTTTGTAGATTTACAACAGATTTGTTAGGGCCGTTGTCTTTGGAAGTATTTTCACTTTCCACTATGTCAATTAGAGATGTTTCGTCAATCACAGATTTCTCAGATTTATAGTTTGAATAATTACGAGCATCAAATTTTGGTTGTACACTTATGTTTGTGACCTGAATGGCCTTTAAAGTTTGTAATTTTTGATAAGAACGTTCATAAAATAACTTCTCCAAGGCTGTTCTATCACGATTTTCTTTGATGTTGATGTTAACGTTTCCATCGACTTGTTGGGCTTTATCTTGTTTTATTTCTAGAACTAAATTTATACCAGATGTATTTGTTCCAATGCATGTGAAGGAGCGATTTCTTATTTTTTCAATCGTCTTTTGTAGCTCAGCAATTTCTTCGGATTTTTCTTCTAATTTTAAATAATTTACTTCAATAAAATGACTTGTTTGATTTTGTATGTCTTCTAAAGATTTTTGAAGACTTGAAATCTCTTTGCTTTTTACCTCTAATTGTTTATTTGCTGTCATAATTTCTTGAAAATATTTATTATTTTCATCTGAAATGCTTTGTAATTGCTCTTGTAAATGTTTTAATTCACGTGTTGCATTTTCATAGAGTTCTTGCCATGAATTTATATCATTTTTAAGTTCTGTTATATAGCTTTCTGTAGACTTATTTATGTTATTAATAATGAGATCTTTGTTTAAAATTTCTGCTTCTAAATCTTTTATTACATTTTGATCCGTGGAAATCTGTTTTTCTAACTTCTGCTTTAAATCTAAAAGACTTGCTTCTAAATCTTGTCTTTGCTTTATAGCTTCCTCCTTTTCAGTTATGATCTTTTGTTTTTCAACTTCGACTATTCTCTTTCCTTCATCTGCTTTACAGAGTAGCAACTGCGAAGATGATTGGACTTTTAGTAAAGTTTGCTCTAAAATGATGTTTTTAGATTTTTTTGTTTCCATATAATTACGGATCCTTTCCAATGAATGTAAAACATCTACTGCATCACACTTTTCCGGTGATAATTCACTGTCACCAATATATTCCAATTCTATTTGTTTAATATCGGTAATAATTATTTCATTATCATTTTGAAGACGATTCATATTTGATAATATTTCATTCCTGCTATTGAATGAATCTGAGTAATCTAATTTTGTATTCGATAATTTTTGCTCTAGTAAAATGTTCTCATTTTTCAATTTATCGAGTTCCATTCTTATGTTGTGAGTAGCTTTGGAATCTAAAAATTTAAAAATGAAGAAAACATTTTAAAACATCGTTTTTGTTTATTTTATAAATTTAACTAAAATTGATATTATTACTAAAAACTACCTTTAGATTACAAAAAAAAACTTACGGTGTGCATGTACTGCTTTGACAGATTCATCGATTTTCTGAATACTGTTTTCTCTAATTTGTTCTCCAGCAATTATAGCATCACTTACGCATACTTGCAATCTTCTGACTTCGTCTTCAACCTCATTGATATGATTCTCTAATATTACAATCTTGTGATTGCGAGCTACAACCTCTTCAGTTAATTTTAAAATGATGTATTCCTAAGAAAAAATTCTCAATATTATTACTGTTTATTAATTTAATTTATTTAATAAATAAGTAATCCAAATTTATATAAATTTCCACTATTCATGACAACATATGAACAAATAATGAACTGTAGTAACCTACTAATGACTTTCAACAAATCGTAATTACTATTATGAGGAAATGAAATGAGAATAATTTATAAAACCTTAAATTAAATTGAAATAAGAAAACATCTGACAAAAATTGTAATTGAATTTTCATATTATTTGGGTTTTAGTTCGACAAGATCGTAAATAGTTGTTGGACGGTTGATTTAGAATGGCCGAAAAGCCGATTGCATTTAGTGAAAATTTTAGGAAATTTTATAGCTTGTTTCATTTGCTATCTTGTATGAGAACATCTATCATAGTAAAATTCTTATTTTACCAATAATTTTATTGTGACTTCGTCTTAAGATAGCGAAATTAAAGTTATGGTGTCTATGAGCCCCGGATATGATTTGCACTAGATGTAATTCACCATTTTTTTGATGTAATTCACCATGATTGGACCTTTTTTTTTTTTCGGTTAGAGGGCCGAACCTCCTACGAGGTCCCCGCGCAAAAGGGGCGCGCGGGGTATGTGAGACTCAACGATCTGCATGGTGTTGTGAGCAGACCGCGGGCCCAAGGATTTTAGGGCCCACCCACTAAACGACTCCCCTGCACTCTTACACCCGACGTCCGATCCCCTCCGAGGTCAGAACCCGGATGAGGTAGGGGGGCTACCGCGGTCAACACTACAACCAGACGGCGTGGCTCACCCCAAGGACGCCCAGCCGACGGAGCCTTCGAGGCGAATCGAAGGCTCTGAAACGTCGGCCGTCTCGGTACGGCAGCCCGTCGGGCCGCTCAGACGGTGCCGCTGGTGTCCCGGAATACCCCGCTGGACCAGAACCAGCCTGCCGGGTCGGGACGCGATACACCGTCGACCGGTCACCATGATTGGACCTGCCTAATTAATTATATGATTTGTATGTATTCTTCTTTATTTCCTTTATAAATAAGCGCTAAATTGAATGTTTAATTGAATATTAGAAGTCCAAGTTTCTATATACGTACTGATTCCTCTAATTTATCCATTAGTTCCCTTATCTTATTTTGAGTTCCAATTTTTTGGTCTTTCAACTCTATAATTTCTCGAATAATTTCCTCATATGAATTTTCTAGGAATTCTGGTTTTAACTTTACCTGAGAACATGTCCTATTTGGTATAACTTAAGCATTTTTCTTTACAAAAAAATAATAATTGTAAGCAGCGGCTTGGCTCTGCCCCTGGTTTTGCTGAAGTCCATGGGCGACGGTAACCACTCACCATCAGGTGGGCCGTATGCTCGTCTGCCTACATGGGCAATAAAAAAAAAACCTGAAAATGGCTAAGAACATTTATGATTTTATTTAAGAAACGCAACTTGGAGATTTACTTACTGTTTCCGATTTCAAAGGGAAATTTTCCTTAAAGCAGTTATTTATGCAGAAAATTCTAGTTAGAGTTTCTTCTTGTCGTTGGCGTAGAACACTATTGTTGAAGGACAATAATTAGAAACGGCTTTTATAAAGTTCTTACCAGTGATCTTTCCATAATTAAAGCATTTTCCAAGTCGTTATTGTGAGAAAGCAATGTTTGACTTTGTTGGGCAAGCTCTTCATTTTCTTTCTTAGCTGTATTCAAGTCTACCAGGAGCGTTTCATATACTTTTTCGATTTGATTCCTCTCCATCTTCACCGCCTCATATTCTTTTTGTAATAGATTTAGGTCACTTTCAAATTTTCTAATGGATACAGTTAATTTCTCATTTTCCTTCTGAAGTTCGTCATTTTCTGTTTCAATCGATTTGAAATTGTTCTTCGAAATAAAAAGTTCAGAATCCAGTTCTATTAATTGTTGACGGAGTTGTTTGTTTTCGGCAATTCGACTTTCTAATTGATTTTGCAAGTTAATTACTTCTTTGTTTTTATCTTCTAAATACAATTCAGATTTATTTTTTTCTATCATCAACAATTCATATGTTTTGTTTATGCTATTCAATTCTTCTTCCAATTCAGAAACAAGACCATCTGTATGAAGACGTTTTTCATTTTCATGCCTTAAATTACTAATTTGATCAATGAGGTTTATTTTTTCTTTTTCGAGATTCGAAATGATTGTCTTCAAATTGAGGTTTTCATTTTTTAAGTTTTGATAAGATTCATGATAACTTAAAATATCCTCTTTTAAATTTTCTGTGTCGTATAGTTTTTTAATTGAAATACTACTTTCTCTACTGTATAATTGGATTGATTCTCCAGCAGTATCTTGCTCGCTATTTTCATCTCCAAGTAAATTTTCTGTTTGATATTTGTCTATAGATAGTTTTTGCTCGGATTCCCTTAAGTTGTGGAATTGTTGCCTTAAATTTTCGAATTCCATTAATTTTTGATCTAGAACCTCACTTTCTTTTTTTGTTAGCACTAACGACGTTTTCAAGTGATCTCTTTCATCTTTCAATTTAGCAATTTCATCTGTACAAGCTTTATTGATTTCCTGAAGTTTTTCAATTTCGTGTAGCTCATATTGTAGTTTTTCATTATCCTTAGTCAATCTTTCAAATTGTTCTTTTAGCATATTATATTCTTCTACTTGATCGCTAAGCTCTTTTGACAGTTCATTGTTTTGATGTACTAAATTTTCGTAATCTTGTGTTCGTTTTAATAGTTCTTGACTTTCACATTTGGAAATTTCAAGTGAAGTCAAAGTTCTCGTTTTTTCACTTTCTAAAATTTCTATGGTACTGGCGTGTGATTCGACTTGTGTTATGAGATTATTGTTAATAATATTTTTGTGATCGATTTCTGATATCAGATGGTCTATTTCTTTAGATTTCGTATTGACAATATTCATTAAATTTTCTACTGCCAAACATTTTTCTTCATTTTCTTGCAATAAGTTTTTATTTTCTTCGGTGAGTTTTCGCACTTCTAGTCCGTAATTTTCCGTAAACCTTTCTAATTCGTCATTTTGCTGCATTATCTTTTCACATTTATCTGGAAGTAAGAGTAGTTAATAAATTTAAATAACTAAAAAGCAAAGAATGGATGCCTACCTCCTTATATATGTAGGTATGTACTATATGCATTTGTTCATCGCTTTTGAAACTTTTAAAAGTAGTTGTTATTTCTTCTAGCAAAGCTTGCAATGCAAACAGCACACATCACGAATCTATTCAAGAAGAACTGTATTTCATTTGCTTAGTGATTGTCACAGGTAGCATCATGAGAGTTCAACAGATATGAATAGGTAAACATACTTTTCCAATCCTCAATCTCAAGTTTCAAATCATTAATTATTTTGAGATTATCTTGAAAATCTCTCAAAGCAGTCTGTCTTTCTTCTTCGCCATAGCAGAGTGCATCTTTAAGGTTAAATACTTCCTCTTTTAACGATTCAATTTGATTCAGTAATGATAACGCATTTTTATCAGAATTAACGCTGTTAGAATAATCCTGTCGGTAATATTATTAAGTTAAATACGCACTTACCAGACACACAGCTATACAAAAAAAATGATTCCACACTTTTTAATTAAGATTATTTACAATTATAGCAAGTGCAAATTAGAAGCAGATTATTGGTAATTGTTTAGTTATTGTAATAAATACAACATTATTTAGATGTAGCTTTAACAAAAATACGATATAGTGGCATGACTAGCAAACTCGACTGACACATGAAACTTATTAAACAATAAATTATTGAAATGCTTTAATCGAACTTACACACCTCTTGTTCGATCAATTTGTCGATTTGGACATTTAAGCTTTTGATTTGTTGCTCTTGGCACATAACTTTACATTCTGTTTCTTTTAGTTTACATTCTAATGTGTTTCGTTCTTTTTCAAACGATATTTCAATTTCATTTATTTTTTTCTCAAGTACAATATTGTCTTTTCTTAATCCTTCCATTGCTTCCGTTTTAATTTTATTAATTTCAATTTCGCTCTTAAGCTTAGTTTCTAAATTTGATGTTTCGTTAGATAGAACTAAGTAATGTTCCTTTAAATCATCAAGATCTACCGATCTTTTTCTAAAATATTCTTTCTCGGACCACAATGCATTGTATTCTCTAATTCTTGTACGTAAAGCTTGAAGTTCACATTCCAGTTCATCATATTTATGACATTTTAGTTGCAAGCAGTTCCTCTCGTGCTTCAAATTTTCGTAGCACACCATCAAATCGTTATAATTCTCTTGTAGATTCTTCAGGCGCTTCAAATTCTCACCATCAATGCTACAGGTATCCTCGTCTAAGTTATCACTTTGCAATACATCTTCATCGTCAAGGTTTGCACTCTCTCTGCTCAATATTTCTTTCATTTCCTCATTATCCATTATATCGGCGATAAGTAGCGCTCTTTTATTATCAAGGTTCGGTTGCTTAGTTTCTGATGAAAGTGCGTAGGTAGTTTCAAGACGTGCAACGATTTGTGTTTTGTAACAAGGACAATCATCTGGGGCTGTATTATTATGATTCTGAGAGCACGGTGCAATTAGCGCAAGACTAAATTTTTCAAGTACTTTCAGTTTAAACAAAATTTTCCCTTTCAAGTCAATATTTCGAATATCTTTTCCAGTGGTCTGAAATTATTAATTGTAACTTAATACATAAATCGAACTCAAGTAAACGATGTTTTTTGGTCCAACTTACCAATAAATCCAAGTACTGTTTGTATTTATCATTTTGACAGAGTATTCCAAATATTTTCTCTAAGGCCGTGTAGATATGTGCATAAATACAATACGGCTCACAAACATCGTTTTCCATGACCTTCAACCAATTTAAATTTTATTCACAAATAACAGATAAAATAAGTAATAGATTTCAGAATACTGAGTTTAACTACATACAGCAATCGTGTTTTGCATTGCGCTCAATTTAGCATCTTTCGTTATGATAGTTTCTTTCATTTCTTCAATCCTCGGATCAGTGGCGGCTGAAAATCATTTTGAGATAGTTTACACTCAGAGGCTTAATTGTGCGTCCGTGGCGTAAAAACTAAGGTATAGAGGTACCCAGTTTATAAGTGTGGTGTGATGCGAATATGATAGATTTCAAATACCTTGTTAGATAACAATTTCCATAAGTAATTATAAATATACCCGACGTGTTTGCCATCAAACGGAGGCTTGATCTTTATTTATATTATTGCGTTTTTTTTAAATTATTATTGTTGTTTTAACAATAAAACAATAAAAAAATACAAGCCGTCAATAGAATATAATGAGACTACCAACTAAGAACACAAGCTGGGTCACCGGTTCATGTTGTCCTATGTAGGTATATGCTTCGATAACCACTGCGAATTAGCTAGGCCGTGAATTCGTGAAGATAGAGCAAGCAATGTATAAAACGTATTTCCCCTGCTGTTGGCTGAGCACCAGCTAACTGGAAAGGCCTCCAGACTACCATCAATCCTTTCTTCCTTAAAAAAACCTCATAAAAAATCATAAATTCTAATTATATTCACAGTAATGTAATTAACATTACTGTGAATATAATTAGAATTTATGATTACTATAACGAAATTTTGTTTAGCCTTAAGTTTTTGGCTAATTCTTTATTGCTGAGAGATTGCCACACAATATCTATTTGAGTAATAAATTATCGAAAAATACACGAATTTATAAATAGTAAATGGAAAATGAATATCTATTCCGTATGTCTACGTTTATATAATTAATTTGAAAGGCTCACATGTACTAGCGTCACAAGGGCAAGAGAAGCCAGCTTGATTGCCTTTAGTTTCCAATCTTGGACGATTTTCTTTGTCATATGTCCACTGTTCAATTATTATTTATTTATAGATAAATTAATAAAAACATTGAAATTATATTTTGTTGTACATATGCAACGTTTTTTTTACCTCGTCCTTCGATTTTGGTGTCTGAAAAAGAAAAGTTAAGGGTAAATGGTAGCGTAATTCCGCGCATGCTTGGCTTCTTTATCAAGATGGATTCTGTCAATGGTAGCTCAGTCCGTTATGAGCTGAAATTAGTAGATCCTTTGGCTTAAAATAAGAAATACTTTTTAATTAGTTAATACAGAAAAAAAACGGCTATTTTCGGGCAAAAACAATTGATATACAGGCTTTGAATACCTGCATAGGCCAACATGAAACATGTTAACCGCACAGCCATTACTGGGAAATTAGTTCGTCTGAAAATTATGCAACTAATATTAATAAAATAATAATATTCACCTCATCCATTCTGTATTTAGTGAGCTGAAAATAATTAAAATAATGAAATAGCTTCTGGAAAATTCCAATTCTAGAAGTAGCACAGACAAATCTTACTTACCTCATCGCCTCTTGATTTCCCAGTCTGCAATTATAGAAGAAAATCATTAATCACTGGAATTCATTATCTAAGCGGCGTATATCTGCGTCACATTTCATTGACATCAACAGCGACATTCTTTTCCTAAATGCCTTACGCAGTGGCTGTACCCTAATCTTGTTTAAAAACATAAGCCTTAAACTAATTTCTACTATGCTATGCTATTCTTCTATTGATGGTCGATGTGAAATAGGCGGTAATTTAAATCAGAATATCAGCTGGATCAACGTAGACCCAACTTCACATGACTCACTGTTAACATTTATTTAAAAAAAAGTTTTTTTTTTAATTTTGTTTTATTCCTCGAATTACAAAAGCAAATAATTACGTACCTCAAATGCTTCGGAATCGATCTGTAACAAAATTCACAATCAAATATTGATTTTTAAAAGTAATGGATCAATACATTCACAATGTACAGTTACTTACCTCTGTGAAGCCAGAGAGGTTCAAATCCAAAAACTGAAAATATATTTGACTTTTTAGTAGATAGAAGAATACTAAATGAAGTTAATATGAAAAGTAAAAGGGCGTTTTACCATATCCTCCAGTTCCTTATTGGCTGCTTTTATGGTGGCGTGCTGTGAAAATTCAAAATATATAATTACTAGAAATTTCTTTAGAATATATCGTTGGGTAAAGTTCAAAAGAGTGAAGTACCACTTTGTCGTCATATGCCAATCAATTTTCTTGCTTTATATCTATTAATAGCTAAAGGTTTTTTATTGGTTTAAGTACCAATATTGTTCACCAGAAACAACAGATTGATATTTTTCAATTGTTATTTAGAACATTTTAGGTATTTGAAGTCGTTAATAGATTTAATTGATACTTTATCGTCTCGTCTCAAGGCATGTTTACTTTGTGGCATTAATGGGCTTAGATATCTGTTTAATATATTTCTTTTTTATTGCTTAGATGGGTGGACGAGCTCACAGCCCACCTGGTGTTAAGTGGTTACTGGAGCCCATAAACATCTACAATGTAAATGCGCCACCCACCTTGAGATATAAGTTCTAAGGTCTCACGTATAGTTACAATGGCTGCCCCACCCTTCAAACCGAAACTGCTTCACGGCAGAAATAGGCAGGGTGGTGGTACCGACCCGCGCGGACTCACAAGAGGTCCTACCACCAGTAAAAGTTGTAGGTTTCCATAATCTATTGATTAAAGCTAAATAATTAATTTAGTGGAATGTCTTACAGCATTAGCTATTTCGCATTTTTGTTCACAAGACAGTTCCAGTTGGTCGTAAGCTGCTAGCATTTGTTCGAATTCTTCGATTTTTCGTTTGAGTCGTGCAATTTCAGTGTTTTTAGCGACCATAAGCGTGTCGACAATAACATCAGTTGGCACGTATTTTGGTCTGCATCTTTCATTGTTCCTCTTTATTATTTCAACTAAATGTTCGGTTTTATCTGAACAGAAGTGTGACCAAGCTCTCGCGTCCGTGCATGATGCGTATGCCTTCAGTTTACCTTCGTTCCTCGATGGTAAATCAAACAAGTCGAACTCCTTGAAAACACGTTCCCTTTTCGTAATGAAAGACATTTTTTGGTACCAGTGACTCGGATTTGTTGCGATCTACGCCAGTCCTAGATTTATTGGACACATTTTAATAAGATAATATATTGAAGATTAGATTGTTATTATATGATTATAAACTTATTTGTATGACTAACGAAAAAAATAAATGTACAAAATCATACAAAATATTTTGGCAACGTCATTAGAAATCGAGCTGGGATGACAAACGTGGAATGTAAATTTTTAAATAATTTAGTTCATAAGTCAAAATTGAATCACACCTTATTGTTCAGGCTAAGTTTTTTCGGCAGGATACTACGAAGAACTTAAAGAAATTGTTGGGTCAAAATAATTAACTTAACTGGAACACAGAAAATTTACAGAAATCGCAACAAGCATGCAGAAATATGAAGTCATTAAATGATTATAGTTCAACTCGCCCATTGCAATCGAGAATTAGTGAGTTTGCTAAATTTCATTGTCTTCCCTATTCTGATTTTAAAACCTCTTCAATATACTTTGTGTCATCAAAAACATAACTTGTCTCTCTATTTCTATGATTTTGAAACTTGCAATTTGCGATTTGCTTAAGTAAAACTCGACCTAGCTAAGTTTGCACCACGCTGGAATGCGGCGCCCCGCCCGCTTCCCCGCTCACCTTCCCACGATTGTCCTGTCGCGTCAGTACGGTTAGCTTCTTAGTCGCCGACACGCGTCATACGAGTTTTCGTCACCCTATCCGTTGAATTTTATATTTTTTAACTGTTCTTGTTAGGTTTTTTGTTGAAGTTTAGTTAGATTATTGGACTATTTTTGTTAAGTTTTCGTTGAACTGTTTTTACTGAACGCTTAATGTTAATTTTTTTTTAATCTGAAAGGATTGATGTAGGCAAAAAAAATGAAAGGAAAGGTGATACATAGTAAAAGGAGAAACATAATCCTGAAAAAGAAACATAAAGGAAAATTATTACTGAGCAATTGGGATACAGATTTAAAAAGTGCAGGAACGCCCGTGTGGTATTAAAACCCGATCTCGCTATATTCTAATGTACCTATGTATAATATATTGTTAAAAACAATAAACGCAAAGTAAAATCTAAGAGACATTTGTTTATTTTTAAAGTCATAGCAATTCCTTTTTTCAGACCATACCTAAGCGGCAGTGTGACGTAATCGATGCGAGGTGCAAACCTAGCTTGGTCGAGTTGTACATTATCGGGCTGGTCAGAGATGGCTCACGGACCATCCGTTACGCTCTGCTTTACATTCATATTTACAGAATGATTTTTCAGGAGAGAATCGGCTGCTTCTTCTTTTTCTAATAAAATGCCTATGAAAATTGCCTATGAAAATTAGAGATAGTTAAAACATACAATTAAATAACTTTATGTACTTATTAGTTAAAGTTCCTCTCATGTTGAGTACGTTCAATGAAAAGTAAGTTGTCGTACAAATTATTACTGCGCGGCGAAAATTGGTTCGATGTTGTGCAAGCTCACGATACGTCTTATCGACACTCAAGCTTACCCATCTTAAAACAATGAAGGTATGTATATAATAAAATAGAGAGAGGAGTTTATAGAGCAGAGTGGAAAGTTCTTTCTATTATATTACAGATACACAAATGTCATTGTCAAAAATAAAAATTAGTTAGGTACGTCAATACTTTTATTCAAAATCACTGTGCAAAAAGACAATATTAGAGAGTATGGACAATATGAAAATCAAAACTCAATGAATTATTCAGTGAATAACATCAATTCGCACATTTTCGGACGTAGCGAAGGTAAAATTAAATCGTACAAATCCTGTACGGACCTCAGGGCTTGGAGCCACGATGAAAAGGCACGCGACCGGTATCTTAGAGATTGGATGAGGTCTGATATGCCGGTGTATATCATATCGGTTCGCACTTTGGTCACATTATTGAAAATCATGACTTGTAAGACCAGTGGAAGGGTTAGTAGAAATTATAACATGTAGATCGACATGCGAAGGGACTTTTGTTGCATTATGTGGGTGAATGAATACAGTAACAGCGCAATCACTGAGTTTCTGGCCCGATCTTCGCGATTGTAGATTCAGTGAAACACTGTTCTTGCTAGGGCAGTTAATAGCAGATTCTTTCAGGAGTTCCATGAGCACGCCCACCAGTTAGACTGAAGTAAGAACAGACCGTCGAGACCTCGAACTTTAGAGAAAGATGGGAGTCTTATGTTATTAAGATTTTTGTCCTCATTGAATAATATTTTATTAGCTTCAATTGTATTTATCTATTAACGTAATCTTGTAACGTAAATATAACAAACTTTAAGATGAACTTGAAAATATGCACGCGTATCATTTTTTTTTATTGTTCTTGTTTGCAGACGAGCATACCGCCCATCCGATGGTGAGTGGTTACCGTCGCCCATGGAGTTCAGCAATGCTAGGGGCAGAGCCAAGCCGCTGCCTACCGCTTAATACTCTCCACAAGCTCCCGAAACACCGTGGAGGGGAGCTCATTCTATAGCCGGATGGTACGTGGCAAAAAAGACCTCTGGAGACGCATTGTGGATGACCGCAGTGGCTCCAGGTAGTATGGATGAACTCTACTCCAGTGGCGGGCGGTGCGATGGTAAAAACGAGATAACAAGAACCAATAAAATTGTGGTATAATTACCTAATTATTTAGTTGGGCTTAATATTAAGAACGGCACTTTAATACAGCCTTTGTTTTTTTAATATATTGTAATAGATTTAGGTTTTTCAGTTAGCGCCTCGATGTCAACCCAACTGCAAGTCTAAAATCGTGCTTGATACCATCTGCACGTCTTGTCACATCATGAAGGAATGTCTGAAGAACAACCAAAGCGTGCAAGATTTTCTTGTTAAAGTAAGTAGCTAATGGGCACAGATACCGCACACGGCGCTCTCAATCTAATTCTGCTGTTATCCAACATTCTTACGACATTGATCTCATGAGGTTGTTATAGAGACTTGCTCAAGACGCAGAAAGGGATTTTCGTTGTGATGTCTATTGGTCGTAATAGGGATTACACCGGTTAGGTAGATACAGTTAGACACAGTTTTGGGATAAATGAGGTGATGAAATATGTTTGTAATATTAGGATAATTTTATATCGATCGGTCCAGCAGGAATTTAACTTTTTTGTTCCGGCTTTAATGTGTCCTATTTCACGCTTTTATAGGAAGAATTCGAAACCAGCCATTGGCCTTGCGATAAATGCTTAGAAGTATTAAAAACCATAAAAATGTTTTGGAAAATTATTATTGAAAAACTGTTTCATATAGAAACTTCTAACCGTGAGCAATCCACACTGCATCCGGCTACTTACATTCGTGTTGAGAGCATTAGATCCCTTACTAGAACATGGCAGAAAGACATCGTCGACGATGTGTTACTTGTAAAAAAGACTACGCCATATTCAAACAACAATTCTTCTAAAGCACCCAAAAGTGCTGTTGATCTTGTGCTTTCTCGAGCTGTTGATCGTGAAAAGGTCGACGAAACTATGAATGTAAAAAATACATCTCGTCAGGTCAATTTGAACAGAGAATGCAATAAAAAATCTTCAACAGTCGGGCGTAGAAAAACGCGACGAAAATTGAATAAGTCTACTTCTGTCAGGTTGGATTTGGTCGATGTTGCTTGCGAAGCTAACGATTTTTCAAAAGACTTTGGACCATTAACATTAGACAAGGAGCATATTGATAACGTACACCAGAAATGTGATTCTCATTTGAACGAAATCGAAAAACTGAAAGCGGAGATTGATTCGCTAAAAATTGAATTGCGCAATATATATGAAACCCACCCGTGGAAATATGCTTTGTACAATAAAAGCCGCAGTGGTTTTGAAATGGATGATCTATCACTGCTGCCAAAGCCTTTCGATGACAGTGTAGAGGATGGAAATTCAGTAAACAATTTGGAATCAGAAATGGTGATAACGATGAAAAATTGTTGCAATAAGGTAAAATACTTCATAGCTTTGATTGGACACTCTTTCGCGCCAGTAAAGTTGCCAGTGGTACAAAGATAAATATTTGCTTTCGTTTCCTTTGTCAAACCTACGTTTTTTCTTTTATATTTAAGACAGACGAGATCACAGCACCTGTTTTTTTTTCCTACCTATGCCTTGAGAGGCTATTTCAGCTTCACCATAACGTGTGTAGGCTCACGGGGCTCAAGCCAGAGTGTTGCTAGCACTGACCCTAGCAAGAGCAGTGCTTCGCAGAATCTACCACCGGATCGGAAACGCAACCCACTGAAAAGATCCGGCGAGAAACTCAATGGGCTGTGTCTATGGGTTAATTCGCTCGTCGTGCCCTTCGTCGCCAGCGACGGGTTCGACAAGGACGGTGACCGGTGTTTGTGGTGCCTAAAAGTACCGTTAATGGATCGGGGGGAGCATCTGATGTAAGTCGAGAAATGCAATTGAAAGAGTCATTAATTGTTTCAGAATTTTAAACAGGTGTCAGTTTTAAAAGTATTACACAAAACGAATGTCACAACTTTGAGTGATTCAGATGAAAATCGTTCAAGTAAAGAAAATCCTTTGCGTTTTCTGACAAAAGGTTGGTTTTCTTTAAATCAAACACCTAGCAACCAGCCAAACTATTGTAGTGTCCCAATTCCGAATTTCACTTTGGTAACTGTATACACTTTTTAGAATGTTCTAGATCTTTTTTACAAATTTGTATTTAGTGGACGGTTAATCTCAAAAGGAACGTAGCTATACCCTGTCATTAGATCATAGATATTATTTAAGACACCACCAGAGTGATTAGTGCGAGTTTTTTAACGTTCTCGATAGCGTAAAAGTTAACCGAATTTTGTATGCAGTTGGAACAGCGCCCCTAGCGGCAAACGTAGGCGAACGATCCCATTCCATACTACAAATATGAGGTAACTTTTACGCTATCGAGAACGTTAAAAAACTCGCACTAAGCACACAGATACTATGAGTACTAACGTCAGGCGCTTGATCGCGTCGTTCGATTGTGTTACGTTTTCTGCCTGCAAGAAACTAATGATTAAAATGTGATTCGAACTTTGAATGTAAAGTACACTAATTGTCTTCGCATTCGACGGCAGTTTTAAATTTAAAACCGTGTTGGTTTGAATTTTACAGTACACAATACTTTCGGCGAAATATTTAAGCGCGAGATGAGTTTAGTCAACGATAAAAACACTTTAGTAAAATCTGATTTTCAAAATGGATTCCAAAACGTGACGTCTAGTAAGTCAGCTCCTTCGTGTTCGAGTGTGTCCAGCTTGGAATCCAATTACGTAAGTAGTGCGTGATTGTTTTTTTTTTAATGCTTAGATTTGTGAACGAGCTCACAGCCCACCCGGTGTTAAGTGGTTACTGGAGCCCATAGACATCTACAGCGTAAAATGCGCCACACACCTTGAGATATAGTTCTAAGGTCTCAGAATAGTTACAACGGCTGCCCCACCCTTCAAACCGAAACGCATTACTGCTTCATGGCAGAAATAGGCGGGGCGATGGTACCTACCCGTGCGGACTCACAAAAGGTTCTACCACCAGTAATTACGCAAATTATAATTTTGCGGGTTTGATTTTTATTGCACGATGTTATTCCTTCACCGTGGAAGTCAATCGTGAACATTTATTAAGTACGTATTTCATTAGAAAAATTGGTACCCGCCTGCGGGATTCGAACACCGGTGCATCGCTCGATACGAATTCATTGTCTGTGGATGTATCGTCGTAATATTAAGCTCACCTGTGTTTTTTTTTTTTTATGATTGAAAGATTACTGGTGGCCTGGAGGCCTTTCCAGCTTCACCAGGACAGGTGGGCGAGCAAAGGCTCAGCCAGGAGGGTTGGGATTTGCTAACAACTGCCCGAGCGCCTCCGAAGGAGACCTAACAACTCAAGAGCAATTGCTTCGCACCTGTGTGCTTAGTGCGAATTTGTATGCACTTGGAACAGCGCCCCTAGCGGCAAACGTAGGAAAACGTTGCAACTCCATATAAACTGAGTTAACTTTTACGTTATCGAGAACGTTAAAAAAACTCGCTCTAACGTGTTAAAAAATTGATTGTGCTGATACATAGATCGCCACGTGAACATGGCCACTCACCTTGCAGCATCAGATTGAAGCTTGTATTAATTTATTTTCCTGCATAAATTGATCACACTAATCAAGCTCACGGTCTATCGGGTGTAATGTGTTTACCGGAGCCCATGAATCTCACAACATGAGGTTTTAGATACAATTGTATGATAGATTTACTGACCAAGTACCTACGCTTCAAAACGTAAGTTAGGGAAATTAATTGTTGGTACTACTACTACGATAGAAGTAGGGTTCTATACTATTTTTGAATGACTGCATCCGGTGCATGGTACGTATGTAATGCATATAATTATATATTTAGATCATGATCATAATTCAAGATCTTATTAAAATAAAACAGATGTTTTTTTCCTACATATTCACTGGTAGCATAAGTGGCTACTGAAACATAAAGAAAATATCACGCTGCTACTCGAAAAACGTTACAGCGGCCGGACACTAATAATTTTGCTTTATATTCCACAGGTATCAATGAAAGATTTAAATGTAATCGTACAACAATAAAAGCCCGAATATAAAACATATCAATTTAATTCGTCAATGTTTTTTTGTTTAGTGAATAAAATTTTTTTTTTAAATAACAGTATTTTCTTCGGTTTTTGCGAGTCGTAGATACAATTAAAAGTACTTTTACTGTTTAATCTTGCGTTATTCACCATAATTATATTATTTCCAACGTTTCGAATACCTTATGGTCTCTGTTGTCATGGAAACCGTAAAATTGCTTTTAATATTATCAACTAGCGACCCGGCCTCGCTACGCTTCGGAAACATTAAATTTTATTATTGATAGCTTAGTCTCGCGATGTTACCTGTGATTATTGTTGTACCGCGAGTGACGCCGCGAGGCGAAGCTAGTATTAAAAAAGTAGCCTAAGTTACTCCTTATATCATCAGCTACCTATCCGTGAGTCTCATCAAAATCGGTCCAGCCGTTCCAGAGATTAGACGGAACAAACAGACAGACAGACAGACTGACAGACAAAAATTGTAAAAAAAATTATTTTAGTGTATGTCCGTATATATATTCATATGCATGTAGTAAAAAGCGGTTATTTCAATATCACAAAAAGACACTCCAATTTTATTCATATGTATAGATTGAAGATTCACTGTCTACTTGAACTGTTCCATTATGTTTATTAATCTAGAGTATATGTAATTCGTTGCGTTGATGGCAAAAACGAAATCTAAATGATTGAATTCTGGCATGGGTACTCTGAACTTGCCGACGACGGATTTCAAGGATCTTGATAGTCTATGTACGTCATTCGGTGTCGACAGCCAGTCGTTGTCAGCGTAGTGAAGGAATGCAGGTGTCCGAATCGCGCTCAGATTGTATGCGGGCGGTCTAAATGTACCGTAAACGAATTTGTTCTTTATCCACCCGTGATTGAATTGTAAGAACTCATCGGATTTGTAAATCTGACCGAAGTGTACGAATTGCCTTGTGGATGAGCCCGCTGGTGTGTGGCCCATCACTACTGGCAGCATTGTCTGTAATGAGAAGACACGAAAAGTTAATTCGCAATGAACTAATTCACCTTAGTGGTACTCTTCCAAATAACAACAGACAGTACAGGTTGACTATTAGAGAAAAAACTATTAGAGATTTGAGAATGACAGAGAAAAAGGAAGATGGCGAAGATGGTTAAAAAAATGAGCAGGGCGTAATAAAGTGTTAATTAATTTTTAATTATTATTATAACAGAAGATTTTGAAACACTGGAAGTTTTATTTTATGCGCTGCGATCCCTATTCTAGACTGGTATTGATCGGAACGATTTGGTTGGTATCTAATTTGGATTCTTTAAAAGGCTTCCAAGCCTGGATACACTACACTATAAAATTTGCTTACTTTATTCAATTGCTCCTCATTGAAACCACAGACCAAGAACAGTAGATTCGTACAAAGGAACTGCGTGATAGCTTCCTCAACACATACAGTTTGTCCGGCAAGTTCGTTAATTTTGCCGTTCGGTAATAGCTCGTTTTTCCCCAATAACTTGAATATTATCTGCAAAATTGAAAATAGTGTAATAACTAAAACGATTTTGTGACTAGAGGATTGTACATTAATCGTCTGACCGGCTGTTAATCCGAAAATATGGGTATGCGACCGTGGCTTTCTTAAGCTAGTACTAGAAACTTCTTTTCGATGCGCTCTCAGTAGTAGATAGTGTATCTTTTTTTATTTTTTTGGAGTTTACTCCTTTAGAATCGATTTACATATATAGGCCCGGGGTATGAAAATTATGGGGACCAAAATCGTACTAGCATGTCACACGAAATGCGTTATGCGCCTGATTGGCTCCTGATTGCGTGATGCGTGCGCGCGCCAATCAAAATCGTACTAGCATGTCACACGAAATGCGTTATGCGCCTGATTGGCTCCTGATTGCGTGATGCGTGCGCGCGCCAATCAGGAGCCAACGCGCGGCCGCGTTATTGCAGGTGACGCCGGGCTGCTGCGCCGGCAGTCCGCCACAAAGCCTCGTACTGATCGCGCGTTTCTCTCATTATTGTATTTTCATATATTTGTTAGTCGTTTGTTTTGTGTCTCGTTAATTTGTTAATAATCTGTAGTGTATCGTGTTGTCGTAATATAGAACTATTTCTCGTATTGTTTCGTTTAATTTTTTATATCCAGTAAACTCCAGTCGTGCGTCGGAGCGGACACACACACTTTTTTTTTTTTTTATTGTTTAGGGTAGTGGACGAGCTCACAGTCCACCTGGTGTTAAGTGGTTACAGGAGCCCATAGACATGTACAACGTAAATGCGCCACCCACCTTGAGATATAAGTTTTAAGGTCTCAGTATAGTTATCCACCCTTCAAACCGAAACGCATTAAAGCTTCACGGCAGAAATAAGCAGGGCGGTGGTACCTACCCGTGTGGACTCACAAGAGTGGGACCTCTTGTACCACCAGTAATTACGCAAATTATAATTTTGCGGGTTTGATTTTTATTACACGATGTTGTTCCTTTACCGTGGAAGTCAATCGTGAACATTTGCTAACTACGTATTTTATTAGAAAAATTGGTATTCAGTACTGTTTCTTACAACTATTCCTATAATTCTTAACAAGAGTATTTCAGGTTTGGATTTTGTTAGCTGGTTACCAGAGTCTATCGATATCACGCCGTGAAGTTACCAATCTGCAATCTCAAAAGCCACCAATCTTTACTACCACTAGTCTTTGTCCTCAATTGTATTGTATAACGGCTGTACCCACCCATCAAACCGGTATTACTGATTTGCAGCAGAAATAGCCCTAGTGGTTCTGCCCACCGGTACGGCACCAGCAAAACTACGCTACTATCTTTCTATTTTTGCGTAATATGTGCCTTTCAATTTAGCGCTATAGTTTCAATAGCATCGAGATGAGTGGCTTAGTTCACAGCTGCTTGAAGTCTGTAGACTCTAATAATCACTTATAGTTGCTACTGTGTCCTGAACTGTAAAGACCAGTTCAGGGCACGTCGAGTCAATACACAACGCTTTTACAGCTGTAATACACGTAACTGTTTGAAGGTACCAAAACAAATGGGCTAACGTCGTAACACAATTTTGATTTGAATAATTCAATTGCGTTAAGTATTTGTTATAATAAATTAGAAGTACAAGGGGATTAACTAACTTCCAAAGTGTTCGTAAATGGAGCAATGGCCTTCACAAGAGGGCTCCTCACGTTTCGTAGATACACGACCGGGGCTAAAGCTTGCATAGCCGAAACCTTGTCGTTGTATTCCGGCCGAGTGGACGTCATCACCCAGAACACTGTGGTGCCCTGAGAGAATCCAATATACTGAATTTTTGGTGCACCGGTTTCTTTGATGACGTAATCTATCATTGCGGGCAGGTCGTAGTAACCTATTTCGTGCCAGCTGAATTTCCAAAACTCCGAGGAAGTGGCCACTAAGGATTTGTGATGACGAGAATACGTGTTTCCTCTAGCGTTTCCCATCCAGACGTCATATCCGATTTCAGCTAAGATGTATGCTGAAAATAATTTCGAAAAACTAAGCAACGGTAAACATAGCATTGTATACGAAACTATTTTTATTCTGGAGTTGATATTTAAATTATAGTTTGTTATTAGTTATATCTAAATCGTTAGTTATTTTCCAAATAAGTGCTTTAGAAACACGTACTATTTATTAATATAGTCTTCAAAATGTGAAAATAGTTTATTAACAAATTTATTGGAAAGCTTACGTGCTATGAAAACTTACCTAAACCTTTCCCGGGGGTCATAAGCACCCATTCCGCAGAGGACGACAGGACACCATGCTGTAGGAGCACAACCGGCTTGGGGCCTTTTTTCGCGTTGTATTTGCCGTTAGGTACTCTATGCATTTCCAATATGTATCCGTCTTCTGTGTATACTCTGTGTATTTCGCACGGGTAGCCGTATTTACGGATTAATGTGAACTGCGTTGAAAGACATGTTCATTAATTATTTGATATATTTTATTGATTTAAACTTGTACCGCGGATGGGTTTTGTCTTTTTTAGGTAGAATATCTCACAGCTTATAAGTTGTTGTATTTTAAGCTGAGTTTGTAGACTATATGGCGTCCATGAAATAAGAATTTAGAATCTCCTGAAACTGAACACAAAACCGGTTTGAGCCGGATGTAGTTAGAATGACGGTACAAAGTGGTTCACATTAAATCCTAACATCAGTCCCTAATTTTGTAAATATGTATTTTCAATATTTTTAATAATATGATTGTAGGCCTTCATCGTAGAATTACTTAGAAAAAGGGACATGAGGCGTCCTGCCCTTTAGGGCACCATGACACTAAGACGTATTTTTCGATACCAGTAAATTATTTTGGTCTTAGCAGCCCGATGTGGACGCAATGTTCCCATCTTCATGGTCATTGGTGTCAGAGGTCACTGCCACCCATGGGTTCCAAAAATGATAGAGGCACCGTCGTGCCTCGGTCTATTTGAAAGTACTCTGTTGAGCCTTCTTAGGCGAAAAACATGTCATAGCGCTCCGAAAATATCGATAAGGGAAGTTACTTCTAGAGTTTCAACCTACGTGGGAGGATGATTGCTCTAAAACCATTATACCAGAGATTTGAAGGTAAAACGACAGGAACGCACCATCTCTAAAAGCTGAGAATAAACGGTAGACTATGATAACATAAAGTATCTATTATATAATGAATCAAAAATAATAATGGCCTCAAACAGAATAGATGTGTAGCACAAGGCCGCCTTTTCGCCTAGATCCATTTGCGCTAGGTGATCGATTTGTTAACTGTTTTGAAGTGCTTGTTACGCGTTGTTGCGCGTTTTAAAATAAGTTTTACACCCACTCATTGGCCTTAACGTGAATACATAATAATTTAATATTTAATGCGACTAAGACGGTGTACGTTTTGAAGGCTTTATTTAAATAATCAAAAGCCGTTAATTAGTTTTAACTAGGCATGGTCGTTGCGCAACGTAAATGGTTATTGAAACTATCTATAGACAAAATAGCGGTTAGCTAGTTTCGCCGTACTGCAATAACCTGCTAACGTCTACTACCTCAATCACGTCACCGATCACGAACACAAATCACACAACGTTCGGCAATATTCGTTTTACTTCGTACCGCTCGGTCGGCAGCTATCGCGACACGCAGCGCAAACATCGGTTCGATCGAAATAGACAATCATCATTTTGTCTCTTTCACGCACACGACTGAGATGCATTTGACCTTTGACTTTAGCCCTTAAAGCCCTTAAAATAAGATTTATAAAATTAAATTATGAGTGCAAGTTGAAGTCGAATTTTGTGGCCTTGAACCAGTTATTCACGAATCGCGTGTTTAGCGACAAAATGTATTAAAGACTCGGCGCTAAGTTTTAAGTTTAATTGCCAAATTGAATAGTTAAAAATACAAAATGTATAGTTGTTTAATATAGATTATCCTTAAAGATAAATTACAAATAAAGTCGTAATTACTGAAATATTAATCGCGACGCTAGCTCATTCGTGTGCACATTAGTTTACTGCTAAACAAAACCCGCTATTGCTCGCTAATGAAATAGCGCGTTTCAAAAGCCGCTATTGACATTCGATAGCTAGTTTCGTTTCGCTAACCGAAAATGCCGCTACAACCCACCGCTAGTTTTAACTACCGGTTTAAATTTCCTCTTCGAACTCATTGATCACGACCAAGAGGGTTCGGCGAGCAACTAAATAACTCAGATACACCGCACTGAGTTTTTTGGCGGATCTTCTCAGTGGGTCGCGATTCCGTTCTGAGGGTAGATTCCACGAAGTACTGCCATTACTAGGATAGCGTTAGTAAATTCTCTCAGGTTGAGCCGGTGAGCTCACCTATCCGTCCGGGCGTAGCTGAAATAGCCCCCTTATGCTACCAGCGGATTGCAAAGAAGAAAAAAAGGTTTAGATCTGAAAACACTGTCGTTCTGCCACAAACTCAAACAAAAACAAATTTTTCAAAAGATACCCTAGATTCATGTGTTTATTTTCTACTTTGCCTACAGATTTCGCGCTTATGTATGTACTTTCGTGCTGAATGATTTTTTTTATGATTGAAGGATTACTGGTGGCCCGGAGGCCTTTCCATTTTCACCACGACAGGTGGGCGAGCAGAGGCTCAGCTAGGTGGGGTGGGATTTGCTAACAGCTGCCCGAGTGCCTCCAAAGGAGACCTAACAACTCAAGAGCAGCTGCTTCGCGAATGAATCTACTACCGGATCGGAATCGCGACCCGCTGAGAAGATCCGGCGAGAAACTCAGCGGGCTGATGCATGGGTTAGGGTGCACGGTTGCACGGCTACCGGTATCCCTTAGCCTGCTCCTAGTGTTGGAGCTGAAGGGATCTAATGCAAGAGTTATTGGATCTGATGGATCCGTAAAGACGTGTTTAGCGCGACGACGGTGACTGGCTCTTGTGTAATCAAGATTCGGGGAGTAGTCAGCGGCGGCAAGGTAGGCAACGATAAGGCAATTATCATGACGCCTAGCCTTATTGAAGTGGCGTTCCGACGCTGACTTCATGCGTTTGCGGATCGATTCGAGGCCCAGGTCCACGGAGCCTGCGGAACCTGCAAAAGCGGGATTGGAGGGTGACTATGTGTGTGCGGGCCGCGTGAGCGAACACCACACTCGCGTAAGTCATGACGGGTCTTATGCAAGTTTTGTAAAGTGTCACCTTGTTCCGAAGGGACATTTTACTCCGCTTACAGATCATGGGGTAGAGTCTACCGAGAATAAACGCGGCACGGTCACGGACTGATTTTATATGCGGGCGGAATGTCATCGATGCATCCAGGGTAACGCCCAGGTACTTGACCTTCCTGACCCAGGAAATAGGTTGGCCAAAGGGTGATCGGGGCTGTGAGATGTCTCCTCCTAACGCGGCAGGAAATTCGTGTAGAGTTTCCCCTTTGAAATAGCAAGCGCCCTGAATGTTCTTTCGTTACAGATGTATAAATTAGAAAACAAATATTTCGAAAAAAAACGGGCTTTATTTAACCGAAATTAAATATCTAGCCAATACAATTACATTTAAATTTTACGAAATTTCTTTCACCCTTGTGAAATGCGACGAAACGGAAATGACACTCGAAATGTGATGCTAAATAGAGACAAACATACACGTCTATGGAATTTAGTCTGCGATAGAATGAAGTAGAATAATTCTGAAGATTTGAATTGGGAACTGGTATGTTTTTATGTATTAGAATAAAATAAACATTCCATAATTAACAGTGCCAACCTGAAAATTTATTAAAGTAAAAAAACGTAAACAGAATACCTATCTTTCAAAAATACTGACTCCAAACCAATGGCGTAACGATCTTAATTCGCGCCCGCGGTGCAATACCTTTTTAGCGCCCAGTTCGAAAAACGTAATATTATATTATGTAAAATATACTCGCAAATTAATTAATAAATAAAGTCATAGTCTCAAGCTAGGCTTTAAATTTGAGAAAACAACACTAGATTTTAAAATGTATATTATATATTTTATAATCATATATAATTAGTTCAAAATATACCTATTGTTATATATTTTACAGAAAACAATTACAACAAAAATAAAAAAAATCCAGAATTTTTTACTCCTTTGTGATCAGATCAATAGGGCAAATATATGCAATGTTAACATATAAGTTTGTAACTCACATCTGATTCTGTAGAAGGGATGTTTGTAAACTTACCGTATCTAAACGCGCATCTTCCAGTATACTTGGATCAGTGATCCTCTGAATATTTCTATAAAAGATTTCATCTGATATTTCTGCATAGCAGTAATTATAAGAGAAAACTAAGATTGTCGTTAAAAAATATCTAAACATGGTTTAGTGTTACTACAAGCCAACGACAATCCAGGCGATCTGTGGTCGATGGACTGAAATGTATCGGATTCTTTCACAAGAGATATATCATCACTTATTGATAAAGACAAGACAAGCTGCTGCGCTTAAGCGTTTCTTTATCATGTTTACTACTGTTATTAAACAAAATTACGTTATTATTTAAATATTTTGTGTTATGTAATTGTACTATTTATTCGATTAATTTCATAATTTACCTATTGGAGTTATTAGAAAGTTGTAGCTATAGGACCCCAACAGCTGAACCTCTCAGATGTCAAATTAGAATATTTTTTTGGCAAAACACAAGCCGCTTCTAGTATGAAGGTATAACATTAATGTAAACAGAATTGTATGTAAATCACTCGAGGCAGAATCGATCGTGAGCACGCACGAATTCTTACCACCACTGTCTCTTTGCTGTGAAGTGATCATGTCATGGTTGTGATAGCATTCGTATTGTGGTATCGATGTGATTTGGTATCCATTTAAGACCAGTTTGACCATGAGTTGTTTCGTCAATCTATCCTCTTCACCCCCAAGTCTTATAATGTGACTCTGTTGTTCTTTACCTTTGGCGACATGTACCTAACGCATCGTACGTACAAATCTGCTCGGACTGCGACACCGTGACTTTTTGCCATCGACATAGTTTGTTCATCTACGCATAACAATAAACAAAAAACAACATACGCTGTCGACACAGCCTTGGATGAATATTAAATGCCGATAAGTGTCAGTATTTCGAAACCACTCGTTATGAAGGTGAGATAACAATTAATAGGTACAGTATTAATAGTTTTCATCAAAGATAAAACAAGTGTGTCCCTATTTTAGTTATTAAACGACCTTTTATCTGATTATGTTAGAACGGACGCAGGTGCTTCTATCGTGAACCGAAGTGTAGAGCCAAGGTTAATTAATTTTAAAACTCATCAAGTTTCAAACTTCGGTATTGATATAGACAAAAAGGTTTATATTGTTCAATAACCAGATGGTAAATTGTTGACGCGCATAATGTCCGCTCATTGTCTAGGTACTTGTTTTTGCTGTAGTTACAAAATAATATTAATTTCTATTCGGCACTTTGTTTTATTTCTTAATAGCAAAAGTTATAGCTATATTTTAATGGTTTTTTTTATTGCTTAGATGGGTGGACGAGCTCACAGCCCACCTGGTGTTAAATGGTTACCTACTGGAGCCCATAGACATCCAGAACGTAAATGCGCCACCCACCTTGAGATGTAAGTTCTAAGGTCTCAAGTATAGCTACAACGGCTGCCCCACCCTTCAAACCGAAACGCATTACTGCTTCACGGCAGAAATAGGCAGGGTGGTGGTTTAGCTATTATGGCAGGAAGGGATATATAATTTGAGTGCTAAGTGGTTTTCGGAACTACGAGTAAACGCCTTTCCAAAATATCGCGAAGTGTCAATTGCATTGGAAAATGAATAGGTTCTGAGAAGTGGGAGCACTGTTTCTCTGGCGCCATCGCCTCCTTCCACCAGATGGTGAACTCGCAGAAGTCAAACGTCACTTTCCACGGTCCTTCAAATTGGAACACAAGTTACCTACTTTGCGAGAGTTGAAAAAAATTAATGAGTTGAAAAACTTAGATGCTATGACAAGTAGATAGGTAAGTCGATAATTTTAGCTGAGTGTGCCAGAGTCCATGGACATATAATTCGGGATCGTCTATGAAATTTTCAAAGCTGAGTAGCGGTATTGAATTTGAATTGAATAGTGTCCATCAGATTTGGTAGCAACGATGAATTCAATTTGATTTTCTCCTGTCATAAAGGTTGCCGCAAACACGAAACATGAACGAGTACTTATATTCACAAGCTATTTGGCCGAAGCGTCGTTGTGTGAATTTGTTTTATTTTATTAACTTAGTGTTTGTTTTAATATTAATGTATTAATTGTTGTATATTAATCGTTCAAATCTGCGAAATTGCATAAGAGTGGGAAAATGAAACAATCGTTGGACGTGGTTCTTAAGAGTCCACTGATCTTTCATTGAATTTCCTACTGGGACAATAATTTATTTAATTTCATCTCAATTCATTACAACTTTAGACAAATCAACTTCATTTGCTTCCGCTCAGTTTTATGCTTCACATACCAATATACCTTTAGATGAATAGAATAATTGAATGTTATGTAAACCCAACACTGGCAACAATGGCAACGCATCAAGAAAAAAAAAACACGTAACATTCTCCTGCTCTTCTCCCAGTCACTTGGGGTCGGCGTAACATGTTTTCACTTACATCCTCTCTTATCATATACCATTTTTTCACTCACTCCCCTCTTACACATGTCGTCTTTCACGCAATACATGCATTTCTTCGTCTACCTCTTACTCAATTTATAATAATATTTAATATAAAATATAGACTCTGATCGCGAATCAAATCTGGGTCTCCACACACTTATCAGAGTAACAAATGCACTATTAAAAGTAAATAAGTTGAAAGCTAACTTTTTAGTGGGACCTGAAGGGCGATGATCTGTGATTTTTTAAATTCGTAAGTGGGTGTTTCTCTACTTTTAAACAAGTCATTTGTCATATTAAGTCAATGACTGATTATTGAAAACAAATAGTGCATCGTCACAAAAACAAAATACTATAATATAGTGTGTTGATTTGGAGTATAATACTGCCTGTATGGTTCTCTGAAAAAGCCAATTGAACTTTCAGTAAAGAGCCGTTTTTACTAAGAATACTAGGAAAAAATATATCAACCTAATTTGCCTAAAAACACAAGATACCAACGGCCGCAAACAAATTAAAAAAAACATTGATTGTTGTGAGTAACATTTTTAATCTGTATCATTGTTTTCTTTTATTGAGTTTGATGTCGATTTGTGTTTTTCTATTATTTCTTTTACAAAATTATACCAAACTCGATGTGAAACTAGTGTAAGAATATGGCAAATCAAGAAATAAGTCTGAAATGGAACGGTTATCAGAGTAACATATTGACAAATGTGAAAGAACTTTATAGAGATGAAGGGCTATCCGATGTTACTTTGGTTTCGGATGGGCAGTGTTTTAAAGCTCATAAAGTGATACTATCAGCAAACAGTTCCGTTTTCAAATCAATATTTCAAGTATTTCTATTTTTTTTATATTATTTATCGTTTAATTTTTAATAAATATAATAATTGACGCCCACGCATTTTTTCACAGCAAAACCCCCACAAAGATCCAATTATAGTGTTACATGATATCAACACAGCCTCATTAAAGACTTTGTTGACGTTTATGTACAATGGCGAAGTTAACGTGACTGAAGAATTCCTTCCTATTTTATTGAAGACTGCTGAAATATTGAGGGTATGTGGTCTGTCCACTGGGAGTGAAGCTGCCACCAAAGATGATGAGGTTTGTACTCGGTTCATGAATGTTTTGTTAGTAACTATGTTAAGACAACCATAAATATTAGAAAAAATAGCATATTTTATAAAACAAGTTTCTTTGTATAACTGAGAAAGTTGATCCAAACAAAAGTGATGCTAACATGTTAATGCTATAAATATTAGGTACTCATATTTACTTATATTACATTTTTTCCAATGAATGATGTACTGGCTCTGGATGCTTTGTATATGTAATAATAATAAATAATGTACCTCTAAATACAACTAAAATATTTTTTTGTTTTCTTTCTGTAATGTGGTATACCTATAATAAGTAACACATAATTGGAACAAATTCTCTTTTCCAGATTTGTTTTACACTTTTAAAAATATATTTGGTCTCCGTTTACAGAAACTGTTTAATTGCCTAGGGTGCTTTTTAAGATTTATCAAAATGATAACCCTTATACTCATATTTGTCAATAAAATATTTATAACTATTGACACCACACATGACATGCTTTTTTTACAAATAAATAGCTGACCCGGCAAACATTGTTTTGCCTTAAATAAGATTTCTAGGGAATTTCTAGTGTAGAAAAAAAAACTAACTTATTGTAAGTGTGTAAGGATGTGGTAAATGAGTGAAAGAGGTATGTAGTGCTGTGAACGATGAGGGAATATATAATAAAAATAACAAAACCTCATTCAACCGCATTATACCACATTATAAAAAAAAAATGTCCAAATAAAAAAAAATATGTTAGGGGTATAAAAAATAGATAGTAGCCGATTCTCAGGCTTACTGAATATGCATAAAAAAATTCATGAGAATCGGTCAAGCGGTTTCGGAGGAGTATGGGAACGAACATTGTGACACGACTATTTTATATATTAGATTTACTTTCCATTTTTTAGTTTGGTTATTTGGTTTGGTATTCTAAAAGCATATTTTTTCATGCCTTTATATATTATGTTAGTGAATGATGTTGATTATCTATGGTTTTAGAAATCGGCTGGACCAGTACAACCAAAAAAACGCAAGAAAAGTGAACATGAAGATAATAATAATAAATGCAAGAAAATTTCTACAAAAGTCGAGACTCCGCCTAATACAAGTATTACAATAGATGCATCAAACACTTCTGTGAGTAACTAACATATGAACATATGAACAAAATAATGTTTACTGAAGATTATAGAAATAAATCAAAAAAATAAATGCAATAAATGCAAAAAAATATATGTATTGGAATCATTTAGAAAATTGGTGATGCTATTATAGGAAGTACTAAAAATATATTTTTGTAAATCATTAATGCTTGCACTAAATACTACAGCCTTAAAAATAAAACATTGGAGTTTAAAGATAAAAAAAAAGCATGTTTTTGAAACAAGTTTTTCTTCAACTATTTTTGTCTTATTTTGATGGAATGTAAAAATGACCGGACATAAAATTCATTGCATATTAGAGAAAAACATGAGGCTAACTGTGGTGAATCTTGGTTTTATGTTTTGTTAAACTAAATGAAGGTTTAAATTTATTTATATGTCTAATATTTATTTTAATAGTAAATAAGGTAATAAATATTATAAAATATAATAAAATAAATAATATTATATATAAAATGTTGTATAAATAAGTGTATACTATTTTTGACTATTATTTTTTTTATGGTGTGATGTCTTGAAGATTATTTGCAGATTGATAGTGTCCATTTAAAGCTTCAATTATTTTCGTTTGTGTTGTAAACAATGCTCACATAACAAGTGGTTTGTAAAATTTTCAGAATGTTGTCTTAAAAGTGGAACCAATTGATTCACCCCTCACCGATTATTCTGGAGATAATACTAATGACACCGACATTGCTTTACTTGAAGAGACAGAGAAAAAATATTGTATCAATAGTGAAATATCAACAAAATCAGTTTGTACGACAGGACCTAATAATCGTAACATTAAAAAATGGATAAGTGAAGTTAGCAGTACGCAACCCAGCTTGAATTCTAATGACAAAAACACAGTTAGCACTGAAGATGACAAAGATAGTTTGGAGATTGATAAAGAAGTTGAAACCGTTCTCCAAAGTGGAACAATAGTAGAATCATTAAGCATTACGACTGAGAATTTGAATGTGGTTTCTAGTGAGGCTCAAAATTGTAAAGGTAAGTAACATGTGGCCAAAGGACAGCTATCGATGTAATATAATTTTTATTATAATTCTGAAGTCGTCGAGGCCTAACCGATAAGTCGTCCGGTGCATTCGTGTTGAGCGATGCACCGATGTTCGAATCACAGGCGGGTACCAATTTTTCTAATGAAATACGTACTCAACAAATGTTCACGACTGACTTCCACGGTGAAAGAATAACATCGTGTAACAAAAATCAAACCCGCAAAATTATAATTTGCGTAATTACTGGTGGTAGGACCTTTTGTGAGTCCGCGCGGGTAGGTACCACCATCCCGTCTATTTCTGCCGTGAAGCAATAATGCGTTTCGGTTTGAAGGGTGGGGTAGCCGTTGTAACTATACTGAGACCTTAGAACTTATATCTCAAGGTGGGTGGCGCATTTACGTTGTGGATGTCTATGGGCTCCAGTAACCACTCAACACCAGGTGGGCTGTGAGCTCGTCCACCCACCTAAGCAATAAATAAATAAAAATACATTATTTTACATACATATTTCTTTTCTTATTTACAACAGTTCTATATAAATTTATAAATGACTGCAACTATAGTACTACATAGACTACAGCTTGTGAAGTGCCTACAAGCACCCTTTGACACTAGATTTTCATTAATAATATTATCACCTTTAAGTTTTTCAATTAACTTTCTGTTAATTTTAGTTTTCACAGTTGGGAACCATTTTCAGAAATTTTCAATTGTTTCCGTGAGAAGTGTATAAGTATTGTGTCGACTGAATATCTCAAAGTGTGAATTGAGATTCAGACAGTGGTGTTCTATGAGCTGTAAGCTTTTCTTTTAATGGAGGGGACTATAAAAACTGATTTTTTAGGTATTTTGTTAGTCTGCAATCTATAAAGGATATTTATATGTTTCAGATAAAAGTAATACCTGTTATGCGAATCCTTCATTTCCTTGTCCGTTTTGTCCACGAGTCTACAACAGTTGGGGGTATCGAAGGAGACATGTCAAATCTAGGCATCTCACTAACAAGTAACTATTTCACATCATAATAGTACACCTTTACACAAGACTCTGATGTCTTTAATAGTTTCATTAAATAGAATTTATTAATTACTGTTCTCATTGAAAGCTATGAAACACAAAGCTTTCAGAAAATTAAATATCAATGTATTGTTATTATTGGCAATAGAGAATGTAATTTGATTGTTTTATTTATTTAATTTATTATATTTTATAATTTTTTTTTTTTGTAAAATATCTGTTACCGAAATTATATTTCTAATTTGGGCAAAGTTTTACCATTTTAATTCGCTTTTATTAGCTTCAGACGTATGTATGTTTGTAACGAAATCTTTGAACATGATTTTGATAATTTATAAAAACTAACAAAATACGATTTATAGAAAATCCAACTAAAAAATAGAAAATAAATTTTAATAAATTTGAATTAAAAATAGTGTTAAGAAAAAATGATTTTATTGTAAAAAAAAGCGTGGGGTGCATGGTAACAGTAGTTATAAATATTTTATGAACGGATTTGAGTAGAAGGGTTATTTTGATAATATCCTGAAAAGCACCCCACGCTTTTTTTAAATAAAACCATTTTTTTATAATCGAAGGACAAGTCAACGCTCTTGTATTATTTAACACTAGAGCCGCCCGCCCTCGCTTCGCTTCGGAAACTGTAATTTATTATAGATTTCTCCACTATTTAATGGATATTATTATACATATAAACCTTCCTCATCAATCACTCTATCTATTAAAAAAACCCGCATCAAAATCCGTTGCGTAGTTTTAAAGATTTAAGCATACATAGGGACAGAGAAAGCGACTTTGTTTTATACTATGTAGTGAAGAACAAGCGTCGAGAGGGCTTTGAATTAATAAAAAAGAAAAATCTGAATTATTTCAGATTGTCATGTAAATGGTGCGTGTCGGTACTGGCGTCGACCGGCGCGTGGTACTCGCACGCGACCAGAGCACACGGCGTCCCTCACGAGGAGGCGCGGAACTCGCTGGTGGTGATGGTGGAAGCCCACGCCGTGCTCACCATGAACGAGCCCAGCGTGACGCAGCTGCTGGGTCAGGTCAGCATGGACGGCAGCGTCACCGACAAAAGCACATAGGGTACGTCATATACAGCGTGTTCTTATATCTACGATTTTGTCATCTGTTGATTTTTTTATCAACAAGTTTTTTAGTTTAGATCTTGGAGGTAACGTTTTGACATTAAAAACACAAAATCCATCCGTTCATTTTAACTATTTTGCTCATTGTAATAATAATAGTAATTCTCTTAACCGTAAAGATTTTAATGTACGCTTCTAATTATTATTAACAAAAAAATACTATTTCGTAATATTGACAGTGATATTATCTGGTCTTATAATTTAATATTATAATCTTAAGGTTCACTTTGGCATTTAAGTGAGCACGGCTTAGATGTAAATTAAATATGACAGGATATAATTTAGATTTGTGTCATATAAGGGCACTATGGCGAATGTTATAAAAACTATGGAAGCTGATACTGTACTTTGATTTAAAGCTCTATTTATAAGATGTTTAGCATATTTCCAGTGTAGTATTTCACAAACCGTGAGTAGTAGCTTGGGCCAAAGATGCCATAAATGATGACATGTGCCATAGGAATGTCACGAACACAGATTCAATGGTTTTCAATAGCCTTAAAATTAATTGTGTGTTTTAAATGCTTGTGATCTCATCGAAAATAAGAGATTATGAAAGAAAAAAGTGTATTGTGTTGTTTGTACTTTTATAATCAAATTGTGACGCATTAATGTCTCACTAAGGTGGACCGATGACCCAGTGACCGTTGAACTCGTTCAAGTCAGAACCAGTCATTGTGGCGAAACTGGGAAAGGTTCAGCAGTGTCCTATATCCAGCAATGGATTTCAGTAGGACGATGAAAGAATCGCTCGAGGGACTGGGTTGAATTTGGGTTTTTAAATTTTTTTATTGATTATGTACTCAAAAAAACCTATTTTAAGTCAAACTACAAAATTAGCAGTAACGAACGTGAATAGTTAACTTTGTAAATTACCCTGTATGTCTCATAGTAATTAAATTTGAATATGGGTGTTCAAATCCTTAGCTTCTTTTAAATAAAGATTTTTATATTCCTATAGCAATCTAGATTTGTTATAAATTTACAATAAATAAATATATATTGAAGCTAAATAACGTTCAACACATACAGTTCAGATTATATGTAGTTTTGTTCTGTCTATAGTAACTAAAATTAATATAAATCGCTTTAAAAGATCCTAATCATGACACTTGAACCCTCCGAAAAGAAATTTTAATAATAACGAAGAATAAAAAAATAAAAATTTTATTATTGTATTTTGTGAGGAATATGAATTTAAAAATGCTTCTACAAATTACTCATTTTTTTGTGATTTGAGATAAAGTTGTGTATGTTTTGTGTCTCGATGTCATTAACATAATCATAACAGATAAGTTATAAATAATGAGATTTTCCATAGTAATATTTTAAAAAATATTTAAGTTATTTTGCTTTTGTGAGCTCTCAACCGGAAATAAGAATGCTATAATAAAGTAAAGAAGAGTAGAAATTTATTTTTTGATGTCCAACACACGATGAAATTGTATGATAAAAAAATTAAACATATACAGAAAAAATATTTAATGAAATCAAACTTTATTGTAAACTTAAAGTATAATGAAGATTATAAATTAACAGAAATCACTGTGTTAGCGGTTTTGAGTACCAGATAACGGGCCTAATACATAGTATACTATCATTTCATGATTAAGGTTACAGGTTGGTCTTCGCAGTTCAGTTCAGAGCAGTTTCTTACAAAATTTTAGCAACAATGTCTAGGCTTGCTATTTCTTAATGACTGTATGCTCGATAGATGATTTTAAAGACATAAATATATTGTGTACCGAGACTGATTGCAGATAAAGAATTTAAAAAAAAACTTGTGTACCGTTAATGATCAATTAAAAAAATATATTTTTATATAAACCTTTACTCATAATCAAAGTGAGTCCATGTTGCAAGGCTTTTATTACTATTGACACAAGAGCTACATAAATGAAATCAGTATACATGAAGCAGATTATTTTAAATGTAACATTAAAAAAACTGATTAAACCAACCTGTACTGTTTTCAAAGTAACAAAATACTAAAGAAGGTATTGTTAAGGACTGAAACTACAGAGCTTAGACTTAGCTAAGACCACAATAAGGAAGATTAATAATTAACTTGTAACTTTTCTAAAATTACTCAATTGTTATTTAAAAAAAGTTAGTACATATAACATTAGGTTTAAGTCAATTAATGTTTTGGCAATAAAGAAAACAAAATGTGATTTCCTAGAATAGAAAAGAGAAAATTACGATTCGAACAGTATTTTAAGTGCACTAAAAGAAAATATAATATTGATATTACACTATTACTAAAAGAGTACATACGTTTAGAAATTTTACGAATAGAAATGATCGTATAGTATATATTTTTCTAATATGTAAAATAATTAATCTAAGTCGAATGATTGTGGTGAAAATATAGTGTGCAAAGTATTCCGAAATTGAGTCATCTGGTTGTGAAAAAAATAATACGAATCGTTCATTATGGTACTATAATATGTACATTAAAGGCACAAGGTCGGATATCAATGATTTAAACTTTTTTTATTTTAACATTTCAGAATGTAATTTGGTTACAATGTATTATAGTTGTCCACTCGATTATATTTAGGATGTAATTAAATAAATACATACATTTTATATTGTGGAAAAAAAAAAAAACTACCCACTAATCTGCCTAAAGTATATCTGACATAATGTTCAAATTTCTGTTTTGAATATGGAGAATATGCCCTTTAATGACCCCTTTATTTTTGCTTATAATGTAAAAAATATTACCATAGTTAATAGACTTTACTTACTTAATGCTTTACCAGATGGCCCAAAAGTCCAGTTGTAATGTAATATATAATAAATTATTGAAATCTGATGTTCATTAGCTCAGTCCTTTGCGCCTCGCTAATGAGATTGATATTGACAATCCTATATAAAATATTTCTTAGTTTTCTCATTACATTAAAATCTATACAAGGAACCAAAAAAAGTATTATTAAAAAAAATGTTATTATAAGCGACGCAGATTTCAATATTTTAATGGTAGACTCCAAATGCTCCTAAACAAAAATAATTAACATATCAGTTCGTACAAAACAAAGTTAATGAGCTTCAAAAAGAGTGAACTACAAACAAAAAATATTTTAAATTAACTACAATTTTGTACTAGTGTTAGTCCAAATAATTATTATCATACTATTTTAAATGACACTTAATTAAAAATGCTAGTCCATGGCCAGTTGTTACGCAGTTTAATGTTTTGCTTGTAACTTATGAAGAGAGTGAGAAGGGAAGGAAACTTATTTATTTAGCCTGGCAATACTAATGACCTAATATCATAGATTAAATGAAATAGATATCGATAAAAGTTAATTAAATAAGAGATATTGAGACGTGGTATTTTGATAGCAATATTAGCTCAAAAATAATTTAAAATAAAAACCATAGCGCCGACACATTAGTTTAAGTAAATTATTATTAAGTTACCAAAGCAATTTCGAATAAATACGTAATAAGGAATATTTTAAATAAGTATAATATTTATAAGAATTTATATATTTTTATACGACTTGTCTTCAATATGTGTAGTTTTTAAGTGTGTGAAAGTTTGATGAAGCTAAATAATTTGATGTTTTGGGTTTTTTATATTTATAAATCTAAAACAATTCATTTATTTTGTAAAGCTGTATTCTCATTGATTATTCAGTGATTAAATATTAGTTCGTAGTTTTGGTAATATATCTAAGATGAATAAACAAGATATTTTATTGTTTATTTTGGTATTGCACGCATTGGTTCTGAGCAGTTTTCATAAGATGTACCCTGATTTAAATCAACAACGCATAAGATTGATATTTTAGAATCTCTCTCATTAGGTGGAAAGCATTAACATCAAATTATTTAGTGCATTATGTTCTTGTACGTGATTGTACGCCATAATTTACGCTTTAAGTTTTTTAATCTTTTGTATTCAATATACTTAACTCTATTGAGATGTAAATTATTTACTTATCGAACGTAACATTTGAATTCTTATGACTTAACATATAATAAAACATATGGCTTTAAAAAAAAACTTAATAAAAATAAAATGTATGCGGACTTCCAATGCAATGGAGATTAAATATATTTTCTACAAAGCGATTCGTTTTTATTTATAAATCTGTAACGGTCCCCTGAATCGTGATACCGGGGGCTAATTCGATTTTTTCGCTCTCAACTTTGTTGCTCGGGTAAATCAACTCTGGCCTAGATTCTCGTTTCTGTAATTCTTGTATTATGAGATCTTTGGAATCATGCCTGGTGAATTCTTTATGCATTGAATTTGGTGTCGGCGAGGGCGTGACTTCGCTGGGTGGTGGAGTTGGTGGTAAGACTTTGTTTGGCGCTTTCGATGGTGTTACTTGAACGGGAGGGGGAGGAGCTTTTGCTTTTGGTGTCGGCGCACGTTTCGGCGTGGACTGCGGCTTCTCCAATGTTCCGTTGTCGATCTCGCCCAGTCGTTTCATCGACGCTCTATTTTTTGGCGTCCTCTTCAACATAGCTTGAAAGTTGAATGGTGCGTCGTCCTCGGTCAAATCATTCGTAGATCTCGCCATGGCTTGGAGTTCTTTTATCGGATTCTGCATGTCTGGAGCGTCGATACAATAAAGACTTCGGCTGTGCGTCTTTTTAAATTTGGGTGCGCTGTTTTCTAGAACGTCATCGTCGTCGCGGGCACCGTTCCACGGCTCCGGGGGCTGGTAGTAACTTTGTGGTGCATTACCGTGTTTCTTTTTGTAGACCGCCGGACGGTTGCGGGACCCGTCCTCGATACGAGGAGAGGATGGTGGTTGCTGGGTAGTTTCTTCTGGAGGCAGATTGGGGACAGGCTGGGTGGGATCTCGGCAGAACGGCACGGTGATCAGCGTTTGAGTGGTGGCCGCTACGATACTATCTATCTGTGTGGCGCTAAAACGTCGTTTCAGAGGTTCGTCCCATTGCTCCTGATCGGAATCGTACTGACCAGCAAAAGTGTCGCTGCAAGGAGAAATCGGTGATTAAAAGAACACTGGAAAAGGGGGACACAGGGGAAATAGGGAAGAACACTGGAAGGGGCCATCCATAAATTGCGTCACATGAATTTTAGGACTTTTGAACCCCTCCCCCCGTCCTTGTCACAGGTTGTCACATTTTTATAACCCCCCCCTGATGTGACGTCACACATTTTTTCAATTTATGCTTGTAACTTAAATTATAAGTTAAATGACGTTGCATGAGAGATAATCTCATAGCGATAATGCTAAATTATTAATAACTATAGTTCAAGTTTGTAGATTTTTAAAGTTTTTTATTCACATCTAAACTTCGCGTTTTAATATTTTTAATTTTAACATGTGATGTCACAAAACTTGCCCCCCCATGCCCCTTGTCACACTTGCAATGCAGCTGCAGATTTTACGGACATAGGAAAATATATGGACTAGAGTTATTATAAGCTGATTACAAAACATTACGTATTTGAATATAGGTATATATTTGTGAATGGTGCTACTAAAATCATGGGCAAATAGTGCGACAAAATTTACATAATATCACTCACGTGCTTTTTGCAGATGGATCGCACATGTGCATCGTATCATAGAATTGTAGTTGATCAATTCTGAACGGTAGCTTCCAGACGGTCGGAGGGCTAGTTCCAAGGAAATTGGCTTCTTTAGCTTGCGGGTCCACGCGGTCTAGCAAAACGGATGTGCTAGTTGTCATCAGTGCTTCTAGAACGGCTTGATTGTAAATATGCACCTGCATAATAGAAAATATATATGGCATAGGATCGTACGGTTCACCGAGTGGTGAGTGGCTAGTGTCGCTTATGGACATCAATATTGACCGGGAGCAGCGTTGTCTATCGCTGAGAAGTTTTCAACTTGACATGTCAAAATTCGACAAATACCGACATTATGTTCCATAGTGTTATGATAGACTGGTATTTATTTAATTTTATTGCATACACAGGTGAACGAGCTCACGGCCGACCCGATGTTAAGTGGTAACCGGATCTAATAGACATCACAACGTGAATGTCGCTACCGGCCTGGTCTAAAGTGTTTCGTGTGACAGCTGACCTACTCTTCAAAGCGAAACGAGGCGAGGTGGTGGAACACACTTGTACGATCTAACAAGATGATTACTACCAGTTAGTCATCATTATCCTGCCCTTCTCCCAGTCACCTGGGGTCGTCGCAACATGTTTTCTCCTTCTATACTCTTCTATCACATACCATTTTTCGCTTACTCCCCTCTTACCCATTAGGAGTGGGCGATATAAATCGTATCTAGATTCAATATCTATATATCGCAGCAATATCGTTGAATCCGATATCGCCCCGCACGAAATCTATATATCGATATCGGCCGATACACGATATTGCTCGATGTGATGCGCATCGGCATATCGTACCGATTCGTGAATCGAAATCTATATAACGATATCAGCCGATACACGATATTGCTCGATGTGATGCGCATCGGCATATCGTACCGATTCGTGAATCGAAATCTATATAACGATATCAGCCGATACACGATATTGCTCGATGTGATGCGCATCGGCATATCGTACCGATTCGTGAATATCAGCAATATTCGTTTGGTTCGTATCGAATCGGCCAGAGTGAGTGAGCGCACGATAGGGATATCATGTGATGAATGAAACAGAAACAGGCATTATCCATACAATTGTAAACCTTATATTTAAGTCCATATGTCTGTAGATTATTCTTAGCGTATCAGCAGGATACAATTAAGGAAAGAAGTTTCAACTTTCGACCCTAACTTGAATGCAGTATAGCCTATTTGCATCGTTGAATTTAATTTCACGCGCTTTGACCTTGAACTAGAATTTTTGGACAAGTGTTTATAAATACTTAAAAGTTTTTTGTGTTTGATTTTTAAAGTACACATTTTTCTATTTTTAGTTGAATCCAAATAATTGAGTTTATTTCTTGTGTTTGTATTAAACTTTTGAAATCTACACTCTTTTGGTATATTTTGTAATTTTAAATTAAGATACAAAATACTAAAAACTGAAAATAATGTAGCCAGTCCTAAGCCTGATAAAAGCATGAAGGAAAGTTTTTTTGATATTTTTATTTTCATGTTCTTTTTATTACTTTAAAATCATATTATAAATTGATATCAGAAAACCAACCGTATAACGTTGACTTAAATCTATATCGTTAAAGCGTATCGTTTCAAATCTCAAATATCATGAATCGGGAAAATCTACTAGCATCCATCAATATATAGATTCACAAAATATATAGATTCAATATCCGATATTGATCCTCGATATATAGATACGATTCGATACGCGGCAAAACCGATATTACCCACTCCTATTACCCATATCGTCTTTCACGTAATCCATCCATTTCTTCTTAGGTCTACCTCTTCCTCTATATCCTTCCACATTCATAGTTAACATTCTCTTACCAACCTCATTTTCATTTCGTCTCATCACATGTCCATACCATCCCAAACGCGCACTTCTCAGCTTCTCTGTGACAGGTGCCACTTTCAGACTTCCTCCTAACATATTCATTCCGTATTCTATCCATTCTCGTTACTCCACACATCCATCGCAACATTGGCATCTCTGCTGCATGCAATCGCCTTTATTACTACCAGTTAGTTTGCAAAGTTGATTTTTATTACGCGTTGTGATTCCTTCATCCGCTAAACATTTGTGAGTACGTATTTTATTGGAAATATTGTAACGTTCCTGCGAGCTTTGAGCACAGGTATAGTCTCTATAGGCAACGAATTAATAAATAATTTTATAAATACGATGCTCTTTTTACATTCATAGTGAGCGCATAAATTAAACCGCCAAATCAGGCACGTACCTGTTGCGAGAAGTGCACTAAGTCCTGATAGCGAACCGCTCTGTACTGCAGCAGAACTTGGAATATGGAGCGGCTCTTCCATTTCATTGCGAATCTTTTTAGGAACGAAGCTGTTTCCTCGTCAATTTGTCCCGTAGATTTGTTTATGAGCGGTCCGTATGCTTTACGAACGATATAACCTCTGTATGCTGAAAGTAAAGTACTCAATTATCATTAAGTTAAATGCAGTTCTAGTTGACTTTCGTAAGCACAATATCAATTATTTGTATTAAATGATTAATATGGGTATTTTTCTAATTTTTAAGATCGCACTTTCATAAATGTTTAGAACAAAGTTAATAAATCACTACATAGTATAAAACAAAGTCGCTTTCTCTGTCCCTATATCCCTATGTATGCTTAAATCTTTAAAACTGCGCAACGGATTTTGCTGCGGTTTTTTTTATAGATAGAGTGATTGAAGAGGAAGGTTTATATGTATAATAACATCCGTTAAATAGTAGAGAAATCAATAATAAATTACAGTTTCCGAAGCGAAGCAAGGGCGGGTCGCTAGCAATTTATAATTAAGAAAACTAAAATGGGTAAATGGGATTTCGCAACATTTTGTCGCTGTTAAGTTGAACGGCCCACCTGGACTTAAATGGTTTTCGGAGTCCACAGACATTAACAACGTGTCTATCATCACCAATAATAATAATAAGACAAATAAAATTTTTTTTAGACGCGTTTTATTTTTATTATACTACGTTCTTTGTTCATCGTGGAAGTAATTCGGGAAAATGAGTTAAGTACTTATTTTTTTAGAAAACATCGGTACCTGCCAATGAATTCGAATATCGTCGGCCGTCTTATTATTTAGGCAATGACGTCTTCTTGATTATATTTATTCTGAATGATTTTATTTAAATGAGTATTACCTTTTTGTATCAACAGAGCCGCTTCATCCTCAGTTACGTTCAGAGATTGTTGTTTCTTCAGTTCTTTGACTGAAATTACGTCAATATAAAATTAGTCAAATTCTGAACCAATTAAAGTATGTAGTTGACGAATTGTCGTCGAGACTTACTATGCAATAATTTTGATTTACTCTTGATCGCCCTTCTTCTGGCCAAGAAAGCTCTCATCATACATTGCACTTTTATAATTTTTTTCACTTTTGTTTCGTACAATCTGCAGTCGGACGTTATTATAATTAAAAAGATTTACAATAAAATTTGAAATAATTACAATATCATGGGATTTTATTCGTAAAAATTTTGTGTACCTTGCCAAGAATTCTTCATTATAGTATTTCAGGAAAACTTTAGTCTTTCCCAACTCCCAACCTTCCATTTTTAACCTTATCATAAGTAGTCTACAGTTGTCTTTTGTCATTTCCACGTTTTCGTCGAAATCAAAGGCTAAGAAGCGGTACCTATTTCGGATGTAGAATAAAACAGTTTAGTGTTTATCAAATTGGATGAATTTATCTGATTGTCAAATATATGGACGGCTTGAAGAGTGTCCACTCTTTAACCCAGAACCTATGCCATTTTCGTGACAGAATAGGGCGGGGTTATATCAAACACTAGCGCTACGATATTCCTATATGGCGAAAATCATGTGTATCTATGAGATGTTAGTATTAACGTTATAGATATAGAAGTGTATTAAAAATGAAAATGCTTATAGTTTCCTTATGCCCGCAGAGATTTTTATTTTACTTATATATATAAGTAGACTAGTACTTTTTTTCTAGTACCTCCTTATGAATTCAGCAAAAGGTATGCGACTGGAGAATCCACTCTGCCTAGCTTTGGCCGTATCTAAAACTGCCAAGGCTCTTAGTTGTTGTCTCACGACCTCTTTTTGGAAACCTCGGGGATTGTCATTCAAATCTGGTCTGATACATCTGACGTAATGCGTCCCACCACTCCCGGGCCCAACGGCGAGCTGTTTCAATAGTTCTAAACTGGTTGCTCTGTATGTCGCAGCCGCTGTTCTCATTCTATGAACTTGAGAAAATTGCCCCTTGGAGACCGTGTTGAATTTCTGAAAATTATATCACTATCAAATATTTTTCATTCATATAAAATACATAACAGTGTCATTCATATAAAATACATATCGTACCCTAGTTTTTAGGTTTTCCAATTCCTTTTCTGATTTTGATTTAGCAACTGTGACTTTAGGTTGACTTGGTGAAACCGTAAGATTGCCTGTTTTCGTTAATTTATTTCTAAATAACTGTTGCACTGTTATATTGACTGATGCCCTCATTGTTTCTATCATTTCAGGAGGAAGGAAGTCTTTGTTCTTTTCTGCCATTTCTCTTGCATCGTAGCTCACTTTGCCTGTATAGTGAGCTACACTGAATTCATGACTGCCCGATAATTTGATGTACGGTCCTTTACACGTTGTCCTTATTGTACCTAGAGCGATACGTGAAAGCAAAGTTTGGTATAATTTTCAACTTACGTATAATAACAGCATTAATGGGATTTTTACTTACTCATGATGAATTCCTGTCCACTACTAGTTCTACTCGCTTCATCCAATACATAAAACAAGCCTAAAGGTCTGCCCATGAGTTGATCCACAGAGTTTTTGTTGTCATAAAATCGTAGTTCTGGCATTGCGATACCTTCTTCTGTGGCTTCTTGCATTTCCCAAGCGAAAATTCTTTGGTTATAAAGGAACTGTATTTGTTCGTTTGTTGTATTTACTATCAATTGCTCTAGTCGATTTCTGTGATAGCATTCAAAACCGAACATGTCCAATAAGCTGACTGAATATTTATCACCACTACAACAGAACATTGTGTTAATGTATGTTAGAAAACGTGAACTGGAAATGTTAATAAGAGATTAAGATTACTTACAAGACAGATCTCATAAAGGAGAGTTTCGAATTAATTAAATTTATCATCCAGTCAATGAGTCTTTTATATAAAGTGCCTGCTAATGTGTCCCTAGCATCTCTCGCTTCATCTGTAGTATGTTTTCTTTTTACTGCAGTCCCGCTTTCGATAAGACAGTAATTTAATAAAGCCCAAAGGAATTTTGTTTCATCCAGTGACAATAGCTTCGCCACCCTCTTAGCCTCCTCCGGATTTTCAATTTCGGTTGAACCATTCCTTCCTTCTTTGAATCTGACATTACCGAGAACTAAAATCGACGCTAAAACTGTTTCAAAAAATCCTATGTCCTCTTCTTCCCAATCGACTGCGGTGAGGTTCTCAATGATATTTTTATAATTTTGAACGTTATTTTCGACACTTTCTCTAACGCCTTTTAATTCTTTTTCAGGTTCATCTGATATCCGTAAGTATCTATGTTTTCTGTTTTTGTCTAAACAGAGTTCATCTAATCGATTTCCCGCTTCCATCGCATCGTAGAAATAATAAAGTAAGTCGAAGTTAGCGTGGGTCCTGGAACGTTAAAAAAAATGTGAGTTTAAATCACAAAATTTACCAATCTACTTACCGACCGTAACCTACATGTCTGTTGATGAGATTCGCCATTTTTCTAATTGATACAACCAAAAGATAGCGCCGCTCAGTTTTCCCGAGCTTCCGTATGTCACTTGAACTTGAAAAATACCCCTGGTGGAATGTGCATTTACGGGTGTAGCGGCAGAAATAGCAGCTTGGATAATACTAGTTGCTTTACGAATTCTGTCTGCTGTGTTATTCTTCATCGCTCCTAAATGGGTCAAATGTGACAGAGCGTGTAACATGTTCGTAGTTTTGCCGGATTTGCTTTCTCCAGAGAACACGATGTGCTGTGGTTCGTTATGATGAAGTGCGTCTTGGTAAGCGCCATCGGCTACCGCGAATATGTGCGGCTCGTTATCTGATCTTGATTTGCACTCATACTTCTTGTGATGCTGTAGAAAACAAAATGGGAATTTCAAATGTGATTTTTATGTAGATGTGAATTTCAACATCAACTAAGTAATGTAACTTCGATGTCTTTATTAAATATCGGAATGGATTTCTTACGTTTTCGTTGTAAATATCATCATCGGTGTTGGGGTTGAGAATAAGTAGAATGTCGCCGACGAAAGACATAAATGAACCTTTCATCAGTTTTATTTGCAACTCATTGAGTAAGTTTTCCTCAGTCAATATTTCTAAAGCGGCAAGATCCTCAACTTGCATCGTTTCGGCTTCAGGGTTCCCTTCAGTTGTCAATAAGCCATCTCTTATTATCCGTTCTGGTGTTTTTTCTGGCGATACCTTGCCACTTAGTTCTTTCGCAAGTATCTTCAATTCTGTTGAGAGCTGTGAGAAAGATTGTCTTAAATAATTTCTATTTCCAGTACCTTAAAAGCCAAACTGAGGTCATTGACTCACGTGATAATCGTTCTCAGGAACGGACAGAATAAACGGATGCTCTTCCAGTTCCATTATGAAAGGTCGATGTTCCGGATTTTTTTCGAGACACCTAAAAACAGTTGCTTACATTGTGGTCACTCTAAATTTCACGTGTCGCCACAAACTTAACTAATCAACCAATCAAATTATTTAGCAGTTACTTACTCAGAAATGAAATCGTTGATATCGTTCGACCACATTGAAGGCTTTGAAATGGTTGGCGGAGGGCATCTTACTATTTGAAATAATGCACGTGTCGGATGCATGTCCTGGTAAGGGGCTTTTCCGTCTGCCATCTCTATAGTAGTTATGCCCAAGGCCCAAACGTCGATCCTGTTGCCGTAACCGTCGTTTCCGCAAGTCACCACTTCGGGCGCCATCCAACTCGGAGAACCAACATTCGTTTTACTCTTATCAAGTGTTCCGCTTAATTTACACGACAGTCCAAAATCAGACAGTTTAACTTCACCGTCTTTTGTGATTAAAATATTGCTACACCTTATGTTCCGATGCATCACTTTGTTCTCGTGCAGATAAACGAGGGCCTAGAGATCGATACAAAGATTGATTAAGACAATCGGAGATGTCGACACCCGTCGGACATTGAAGTGATTGACCGACCGCCCCCCATACCTTGGCCGAGACAGGTTGGCGATACTAATGTCAGCGTCAGTCAAGTGGTGAACGCCCCTCGTATTCATTGAGCTTATTTGCATATGTATCGCTCCAGAGCGCTGTCAGTGGCGGCATGTCGGAGCCCTCAAGTCTGATGTATCAGTTTTCTTAATGCGTTCATTACGATTATTTACCTCTCGGTGTTCTCAGGGAGGTGGTCGCTCGTCTTTTTCTCAACATTAAATTCTACTATGTGGTCTAATTGTAGACGATACCCCGATATCTTGTCACTTGTTTAGAGTACCCGTAAGTACTGTGATGAATCAATTACCCAACAGAAACGTGAGTGAATGTGATAAATGTTACGAATCGAGAAAACTACTTAAAATACGAATTAGTATCAGAATTGTAAACGAGTCATTAATCATTATTTAGGAAAAAATCGGATACCCAGTTTGAAACGAAAAAATATCAAAGTAATTAATGCATTTTCAAAAAGCTTCCACTTTTGTTATCTAAAAATCAAGAACTCACGAGAGATGTAACGTGCCTAGATATACGACAAGGATCTTTCGAACGAAACCGAGCATCAGTATTGCAGGCCAAGTGGCTTGCATAAAGATAATGCGCGTTTAACGGTATCCAAAAACATTAGAGCCAGAGACGTCGGTAACAACAAACCTTTACGTCTTGTGCATAGGGAAGGAAATCCACAAGCAGATAGTAGTTAAAGAGATCATCGGCTACTGCGATAGAGGTCCGTATATCTTGTGTGTGCGAGCATTATTTACGATAATTGAGCGATGCGCCGCGATGGGGGGCCATCACGGTGTTGTCGGGCGTTCTCCGACATTCGCATCGACAACTTCGACTGTTCCGTCGCCAATCACATCAAATAAAGCGGCATGCATTTTAAATAATGGCTGTAGATTGTATTTCAATGTACGCGGATGATCGGAGGGCAATATTTTACTTGACGTCACGAGGCCAACATAAACCTTCGGGACACAAATCCGAGAACAATTGAGTTTGCATTCAAAGTACCCCCAATTGATTCAACGGTTGAAAGCTGGACTGGCAGGCCCTTTGTTTTGTAAACAGCCATCTCGAGTAGAATGTGACGAGGGACATGTTTATAGTCATTCATATATGGTCTTACCTTTATTGTATATTTTAAGATGTAAGCTATGTGTTCTTCGGACATTTTTCTTTCTGCCGTATTCAGCTTTCTGACAATATCGATGACCGATCCGTTTTCGCACAGCTTAAAAGACAAGATAAAGTCGATTAATTCTTTATATAACTTGTTATCTAAAATTTTATTCTGATTATTATTCAAAGTAATGTGACTTTTTGTTTAATATTAAATATGTAAAACTCACTTCAAGAACAAACCATATTTTGTTTATATTATCGACTCTCTCGCAGAACACTCCGTAAAAGTCGATAAGATTAAGATGAGTAGTGAAATCTCGAAGTATTTTGTATTCCTTTTGAATGTGTGCCTCATTTTTATCGGTATATTTTTGTATTTTAACAGCAACGGATTTTCCAGCCGCCTGTGTATCGGTAGCCTTGTAAACTACCCCGAATATGCCAGAACCTAGTTTAGTGTCTAGTTTGTAACGCTCCAAAGGATTTTGCAAGGACGATAAGTTGAGACCGTCTTTCATTTTGGAGGGCGCATGAAGATACCTTTGCAGAATATCTCTGAAAATGGTGTTAAAAATTAAAAACAAGTCCTCGAAGGTAACGTCAATATAAAAATCTAAATAAATCTAAGATACAACGGATTATTTATTGTTTGTTAGCAGAATAAGATCATAAATATCTTGAATTTGTTGTTGAAATTTGAACTTTAATCAAAATAGTAGCTCAATCAATTTAAGACAATTGGACTGCTACACTAATGTTCTGGCTATTTTTTGTATGTATCCACACTAACCTGTAAGGGTATTACGAGTATAAAGAGTTCAAATTTCTTTGGATAAATGGTTGAGCTTCTGAATTTTTAACTTAATTTAAAAAAAATATCTTTATAGTTTTTAATTTATTTCCACAAACAAATTACACAACACAACAAGTTACCCTTGCATATTACATTTCTTTTTTAATCATGTTATTTATTTATTTATTTATTTATGTACACACAGAAAACAAGACACAGTACAGAGTAATAGGAAAATTATGTACAAAGGCACTGCTTATTTCTTTGAGAAATCTCTTCCAGCAGACCTGCGAGAGGATAATGAGAATAATAATAAAAAGTGATAAGTGTGTGTAGAACAAATAACACATAACTAAAATAACAAATACAACATGAGAATTATAGCACATACACATAGCAAATATTATAAGTAACACTCGTATATGCGAAGAGTATAGAACCATGATCATTCGGTTGATGAGAGATATGTTCTAAAGTCTATAGAGTGTTTTCCATCTATTGTTTGTTATTCTAATGAAATTTAGATTTTAACTATGTGTTGAGATGGTCTAGATTCCGGGAACCGTTTGATTTTCAAGTTGATGATAATAATAATAAAATACTTACGGTCGCAGCAGACTAACACGTCTAGCCTGAACTCCTTCCACAAGAACAAGTGGGCAACAACGTTCTGAACTCGCATAAGTGCAGGGGCTTCGTAAATTAGGAACGAGCCTAATCTCATAATGTTATTAGAGCACTGTGACCTCCGTATCGTCTAATTACTCATAATTGGAGTACCATTTCGTAATTGGTAATCCGGCTTAAGCGAATCAATTGTTTTTCTATTAGATTTTAACAAAGGTTTCAATTTGATTTATTTATTTTTATTTATTTATAACTTCATATACTAGAAAGTATAAAAGCGGACTTAATGCTACAGGCATTCTCTAACAGTCTACCTTAGGGGAGTGCAGAGATGAACCTTGGTAGGTGTAGGGTGAAGGTGATATTAAACATATGTGTATATGTAATATTTATAGATACAAATACTCTCACTTAAATATATATATATATAAACAAATATTATCAATTAGATGACTCTGCTAACTCTCTGAGAAACAGTTCTCGAACGTTCGTCTTAAACGCTTCACGTGTAGTGCAATTTATTCAGCAAGTTTAAAAAAAAACGTAGGTACTTGAATTCTACTGAATCTGATTCCAAAAACAAAATTAAGAAAAAAACGCAATTGAATTTGCTTACGATGCCGTGCTATCCGAGACACCCGTCATTCCAAAGTAATCCATTCATCAGACCAATAACTACGCGTCAAGGCATATTTCAAATGGTTCTTTACATTTTAAGATGGATTAGATTTTTGCTTATTGTAGCCAAGCCGAATGCGTTACAAAAATTCTTAAGCCTATTTTGTACAGCTATTTATGTACAATTTCAATTTCTCTGCGTCGGTCCTAAATGTCGTTTCTTCCAAGACGATGATACTACAATGATCAACACGTATCTTCTAGTTCAAGTCAGAAGTACTCGCCTGACAGCCTCGGGTATGTCAATCTCTGTTTTCTTTGACATCATCAGAGAACACCATCATATCAACAGTCTCCAACTGTTCTCTACTTTTCCTTTTCTGCACATGTTCTAACATAATGTATCTGTATTTAAATGATACTTACGTGAGAAGAACACTGAATTGTCAAGTTTCATGATGATTCTTATTGGTGGTAGGACCTCTTGTGAGTCCGCACGGGTAGGTACCACCGCCCCGCCCATTTCTGCCGTGAAGCAGTAATGGGTTTGGGTTTGAAGAGTGGGGCAGCCGTTGTAACTATACTGAGGCCGTAGAACTTATATCTCAAGATGGATGGCGCATTTACGGTGTAGATGTCGATGGGCACCAGTAACCACCTAACACCAGGTGGGCTGTGAGCTCGTTCACCCATCTAAGCAATACATAAAAAAATGCAAAAATAGTTAAAAATGTTTATTGAATTCAAAGATACATCATTGCGTACGAGCCGAATTAACAAAAAACTAATAAATTTAAACACATCAAAACACTACTAACTGTACAAAATTAAGGTGATTTTAGCGTTATTTATTTTATGAAAAAAAACTCTTTTATTTCTCTCTAAAGCATTTTAAAAGCAGAAAATATAATAAAAGGCAGCTTATGAAGCCTATAAATAGATGTGGTATTTTATTATTAATTCGGATTATTATTCTAACGCTCTATTGGAAAACTTACTATAACATTCATGCATTTAACAAAATAACAGTCCTCCCGAAAATAAGTTGCATTTTTTTAATCCCGAAAAATAAGTTAAGGTAGCCATAAAAGTTCTTCAAATATTGCTTGACTTATAACACGAAGCGATGAAGTAGTATACCAGAGGCACTCAACTCAATGAGTCAAATTAAGCGGTATAATAATGAAGTTGCTACCAAACATTTAGTGCGCTTCTAGACAGACGGCTTGAAGTATTTCTTTGAATAAGTGCAGTGTTTTTGTTATACGCCAGCACTCGGTAAAGTCCATACGTACTTTTAGAATTACAGAAACACAGTTTGAAATTTTGTATTTAAATTTTAATTAAAAATGGACCTAAAACGACCTTTCTCATCGACTCATAATACCCAAATCACCACTATCAGCTTAAAAAGGGACAAAGAAAGCTATTCATCGGTCTCTTTCACTCCGTCCCCTTCCTCTACGTCTTTTGTAGGTTTGAAAATCGATTCACATTTTTTGACAGAAACACATTTTTTTTTCAGAAAAAACACATTTTTTGGGTTGTCTTTATAATTCTAAAGGTGCAATGTGCGCTGATTTAAAAAATTCACGAAAATCTGTTTACATTGTTAACATTTCTTTTAAAAAGACATAGAAGTTAAGAGTCTCTTGTTTTCTAATTCTGTTAATTCTCAGTAGTGAAACTGCATGAATTAAAAGCCCCTATACTAACAACTTATATGAATAAAATACTTTTGATTCATTTGATTAATTGATTTTAGTATTGAGTCGTTTGAGGATTAGGATCGATATCCCTCTTTCATATCTATACACGGCGATTCGGTCATGTGTAACTTAAATGATGCAACCGCTATAATTATTTATTTGATACTTAAACCTCATGTATCAAGATGGATGGAGGCACTCATGTTTTTTGTTTTTTTTTTATTGTTTAGATGGGTGGACGAGCTCAGGGCCCACCTGGTGTTAAGTGGTTACTGGAGCCCATAGACTTCTACAACGTAAATGCGCCACCCACCTTGAGATATAAGTTGTAAGGTCTCAAGTATAGCTATGTCTATCAGCTCCGGTAAGTACTTCACAGCAGGCGGGCCGTGAGCATGTTCACCCATCTATAAATACATAAATAAATACTTAGCGCTCACTAATTGATTTTCTCTCAATTTTGAACATATATTTACGGCACCCATTACGTAGCGGAAAATAGTTTGTAGTTGACAAGCGAGGAATATCAGCTTAGTGTTGGCTAATGTTTATTTCCATAGACACAGCCCATTGAGTTTCTCGCCGGATCTTCTCAGAGGGTCGCGATTCCGATCCAGTAGTAGATTACGCGAAGTACTGCTCTTGCTAGGGTTAGTGTTACCAAATTCTCTCAGGTTGAGCCCGTAAGTTCACCTGTCTGCCCGGGTGTAACTGCAGTATTCCCCTAGGATACCAGTAAATGGGTAGGGAAACAATGTTTATTTGAAGCACACGTAAGTACTCAATAAAATATATATATTTATTGAAATTACAAATTTAATACAGGATTACAGAAATAATTAAACAAACATTGAAATTCATTAAGTTTTATTTCACTTACAACATGTTAGTTTTATAATTACATTAATAATAGCACTACAATAAATAGGACAAAAATATATCACGACTTGGGAAACGTTGAGTTACATTTTGACAATGATATTAAATAGTTAAATAAATAAAAAATAATTTGATATAAAATAATTTAATTGTTTTTTGTACGTACGCAACGTAAGACACGATTTTCGTTCTTAAATTAGTCGAAATGTGATGTGATATCATGTGAATATTTCCATTTAGTAATTTTCTTTCTGCTAATTAGACGTGTCTGCTATTCACACGGTGAACTCAGAGCTCGTCTTTGCATTCACACTAATGTGAACCTAGTGTCTATTTTTAGACTATGGCGTTGCTGTGTCCCTTAGCGCCCGTGAGCACGTTTCATGTTACGTATACAAAATTACTTCAGAAAAGCTAAAATCGGTACTTACGCTGCCTTGAACTGACAACATTGAACTCGAAAACCACGGAAGAGGCAGCACTGTGCTTAGTGCGAGCTTTTTAATTTCTCGATTTCGTACGTTTGCCGCGAAGGGCGCTGTTCCAACTCCATACAAATTTGAATTGTTGAATAAATAAATAAATATTTACTAACAATCACGCCACATTAACTGGTCCCGTACTAAGTTCGTAAAGAACTTGTATTGAACTTGCAGGTACCAGATAACGGAAATAAATGTAAGATTTTTATTATACACATACAGATATTTAATAAACATCCATAGCCCTGGAAAAGACATTTATCATACAAATATCTTCCCTTGGCGGGATTCGAACCCGCGACCCCCTTGTTTAGTGACCATGTCACTTACCACTACACCAGACGGCCGTTAAGTGTGAGTCGAGTTTAACTTTCACGCGATCGATAAGTTAAAAAACTCGCACTGAGTACCCAGGTAACGTGCGGCTGTACACTACTTTTTTAATAGTAATTAATACTGATCTTTGTAAGGGGATAAATATTCTTAATTAATTTAATGATTCGATAAGTTTCTATAAATAATGTGCGTCAACTCCCTGTGTGTTTGTTGAGCGCTATGACATATCATTCAAACGAGGTCAGAAGAACCCTGAGCTACGATCAATATTGCCAATCAATTTACCTGAGCCAAAGCGACTAGTCACGCTCAGACGGGCAGTTAGTTTAATGTAGGCAAACTTTCACAAAATAATGGAATGTTTTCATCGAGGAATGTAATTAAGATAGAGCTTAGGAATCATATGGGGATACCCATAAATCCTACCGAAAATAGGTGACTCATGTATAATCGTGTAGAAAATACATCATTATTACAAAACAAAATTAAAAAGGCGCTATATTTATTAATAAATATTGATAGGTATTGAAAAAGTTCAAATTTATGATTGGTAATGTGATTTTTAAGTTCGTTAACGTGGTTCGTGGTTTATCTTATAAATAAATTTACCATCGATTATACTATCATCATTGTTTTTTTTTTTTTTTTTTTTTTTATTGCTTAGATGGGTGGACGAGCTCACAGCCCACCTGGTGTTAAGTGGTTACTGGAGCCCATAGACATCTACAACGTAAATGCGCCACCCACCTTGAGATATAAGTTCTAAAGTCTCAAGTATAGTTACAACGGCTGCCTTACCCTTCAAACCGAAACGCATTATTGCTTCACGGCAGAAATAGGCAGGGCGGTGGTAGATGATCATATTTACAGAGTATGAGAGAATCGTAATTAAGTGATGAAATCTCTTATGATCTAAGTAAAACTAGCTCTGGAATGTTTAATATTAAAGCTCAAATTTAAGTCTCAATAATAGAGTTATATAGACAATGAGACAATAAATAAATACATTAAATAGACAATAAAATATTTCTCGCAAAAATTGTTATTTAACTGCTTTCGTGTGTTATTGTTTTTCTTTTACTTTCCTTCTCAACCGCTGCGCTAATTTACATTTATGTAGGTACACAGATGAGGGCCAAATAATATTTTAAGTGTTTGAAATTAATTATCTAATACCAAGAATTATATTTACGGTATTCAAATACATTTCATATAATTGTGAATACGACGTCAATTTGAAAGACATATCGCTATTATGACATTCTAAAACAATGAACAAAACAATATATATGGCTATTCTATTTGTATACAAATTAATAAAAACACGATGCTTACACACTTGAACTACGTAGTTTTGTCTTTTGACCGTCAATGATAGAACAAAGGTTGATAAACCCAAATTTTTATAGATTTATTAACAGGACTTTTACAGCACCTTTTTGAGTTGTTCAATGTCCTAAATAGCACAGATAATCTTATAAAATTAATATCCCGTTCTCAAAGTCTTAAAAGGTAAGATAATAATACCAAGCCTAATAAAAACGGAAAATATTTTGTTGTTATTAGTTCTCTTTTCCTGAACTAGCAATGTTATGGTAATTGCGATTTTTAAATAGCGTTCATTTTGAAATTAAACAGAACTAATTGTCGAACGTATTTTTTGGTATTTTAGGAATTACTAACACTAACACATCCCTTCATTTACGGAAAGCATTCCCTTATGATCTACAGTCTTAAATGTTTAGCGGTGGTTCGGCTGTGAGTGGAGGGATTTTGTTCCTCGGCCCATTAAGATGTTTAAAATACCCTTTAAGATTATTGTAATTAGATCTAAAATAATGAATGCAATTAATTATTTGTCTTTACTATAACGTTGTCTTTTCTTTATTAGCTGACGGCTGGCGAAATGCAGTGGCAACACGAAGACTTCCAAATATTAGAACTTCCATCGGTCTTTTTTTTTATTGCCCTTGTAGGCAGACGAGAGCATGCGGCCCAACTGATGGTTAGTGGTTACCGTCCCCCATGGACTTCAGCAATGCCGCTGCCTACCGCGATACACCTACCGGTCTATAAATACAGATCCAAAATTGTGACGTACGTATTTATTTACAAACAGCAATCCATCTATCGTCTCTGCACCGTTGACAGTCGACAGTGCAGCACCAGTGAAAGGTACAGTTGCAGGGCTTAATGCTGGATTTCCTGACGAGAGAGTGACCCCGACCGCAGCACAGGAGCTCGCAAGCGCCAGACCGCGAAGGTCGTCCCACACGACACACCCTCCCACTTGTGCCGGCCGAATCCGTCCTGGGGTCCACTTCACAGAAATTCGGTGACCTGCGGATCAGATCGCGTTCTTTACTTACCTAGTCAGGTCATAAGTATTGTCACACAGTAAAAACTTTTCTTTTAGAATGCTGGCCACAAAAAAGTTTATTGAATTCGAATTTCGAATTGTTCATGAAAATAAAAATGTATACTTTTAGAATTTTACTCATTTTTTAAATATGGGGTGGACGCTTAAAGAAGACCGTGTTGCAGTTATTGCGTTGCATCGTTGCGGTTACGCGCCAATTCAAATTTTTAACATACTGAAAAATTTGAATATAACCAAAAGATTCGTTTATCGTACCATCAAACGATACAATGAAGACTCTAGTGTAGATGACAGGTGAAGAAGTGGTCGCCCTCGGTCTGTTAGGACTCCAGCAGTGATAAAAGCTGTGAAGGCGCGAATTCAAAGAAATCCCAAACGTAAGCAGAAACTGTTGGCCCTTCAGATGGGGTTAAGCAGAACCACGGTGAAAAGGGTGTTAAATGAAGACTTAGGGCTTCGGGCATATCGAAGAAAAACAGGACATCGTTTGAATGCTCGTCTAATGGACCTGAGACTGAAGAGATGCCGCGCTTTGTTGAAGCGGTACGCGGGAAAAAAATATCGGGAAATTCTTTTTTCGGATGAAAAAATTTTTACCGTAGAAGAGAGCTACAACAAACAAAATGATAAGGTGTACGCACACAGTAGTGAAGAAGCGAGCAACCGTATTCCGCGTGTCCAACGAGGTCATTTTCCATCCTCGCTCATGGTATGGTTGGGAGTTTCTTATTGGGGCTTAACAGAGGTACATTTTTGTGAGAAAGGTGTAAAAACGAATGCAGTTGTGTATCAAAATACAGTCCTGACGAACCTTGTGGAACCTGTTTCTCATACCATGTTCAATAACAGGCACTGGGTATTCCAACAAGATTCGGCGCCAGCTCATAGAGCGAAGAGCACACAAGACTGGCTGGCGGCGCGTGAAATCGACTTCATCCGGCACGAAGACTGGCCCTCCTCCAGTCCAGATTTGAATCCGTTAGATTACAAGATATGGCAACACTTGGAGGAAAAGGCGTGCTCAAAGCCTCATCCCAATTTGGAGTCACTCAAGACATCCTTGATTAAGGCAGCCGCCGATATTGACATGGACCTCGTTCGTGCTGCGATAGACGACTGGCCGCGCAGATTGAAGGCCTGTATTCAAAATCACGGAGGTCATTTTGAATAAACTTTAGTGTCATAAGAATCTATGTTTTGTTAAGTTCATTTTGGTATATGAATGGTTACATAATGAATAAACTTGTTTCAATTATTTTACATTAAACATGTGACAGAATTTATGACCTGACTAGGTATTTTCCTTCCCTACCTATTCGCTGGTAGCGTAAGGGGCTATTCCAGTTACGTGCGGACGTGTAGGTGAGCTCACGGGCTCAACCTGAGAGGGTTTGCCGTGGTGCCTCGTGGGTTAGGTTTATGTTGAGATACATTCTCCACGCTAAATATGTTATTAAGCTGTGTCGAGCGACAGGGGGTATTAAGTTTGGACTATAGCATGCCCCGCCCACAGTACCCTATACCTAGAAGTCCAAGAGTTACCTACAATTGAAAAAAAATTTACGTAATATACCCACCGTTCAAAAAACAACAGACTTGTCTTTGGCGCCGGTCGTGGTTTGCTCTTCCTCCTACCCCTCGGTCTACCCTTCAATACTGACATGCCGTTATTAATCTGTCCCTCTTGCGCTGCAACTAATGCCTGAAACGACGGATTTTGATACTCAGATACAGTTGAATAGATAAGGGTTACTTTGAACTGGACTTGGACTCGTGTGTTAAGTGTCTACTGGAACTTATTGACATCGCAACGTGAATTTTTCAATCGCCATAGTAGGCAGGCAACGATACGGGCCATCCAATACTTAGTAGTTCTCGTAGCTCATGTACATCGGTAATACCAGGGTCACAGACGCTGCCTACTGAAAATATTACCACCCATTTTTAAGAGGAATTTCCGACTGTCTGATGCAACGGTTTTTCCACCCAATATTGAAAATTTCGCAGCAGAAATAGACGGTAGTTGTATTATGTTGTAATAAAATTAATTTAAGTGAGAAACCACGATAAGGTGATGGTATCTAATAGTATCTAACCCTCAGTTACAAGTAATTTATTTATTAATCTTAATGGTGGCTTATTAACGATTTCGTATGTGTGAAAGTGTAGAAATGTGGGAAATGGATGAAAATTGCTTGTTGAAAAAAAAAACTTTGTAGAATATTTACTGAGAGCTCAATGGTCGTTGTACTGAGAGGCTATTTAAATCCATCTCATATGCTGATGTCATTGCGATTTAATTCCTATTAATTTAATTTCATAATCGATTTAATTTCAATCAGTTTTATTTCAATTTTAATATAAAAACGTGGCTTTGAATTTTGTTACATTTATTTTTGTATGCTGGCTGTATGGGCCAAGTTCCTTGTGGCTCTCCAAATAAGGCTACCAATTTTTATACATTCAGGTAGATGTATTGTTCAAATAAAAAAGGGTTCTAATTCATTCGTTTTAAAGAACAAAATACAGCTTTACCTTCCGATATTGTCTTTTGATAGTTGAAGCAACCACTCTGAAATCAGGCGTGGTCCTCCAACATGTCCGCAGTTGACAGCTTCCGGACAAACCGTGACATTTGCACCGCACCTCCATATGAGACGATAGTATCTAGAATATTCGTAAAATAAATGTATCAACGATATTAATACGTGAAGCAAAAACTTTGTACCCCTTTTTACGGAAATTGCGCGTTAATATTAATTTAAATTATGCATGAAAAATACATAAAATCAATAATAAAAATATGTATTTGACACACATATATTAAATATTGTTTGTCTTTATTAATATGTATCTAAATTGTAGTCCTGGCGAAATCTGTGATTATAGAAGTATAATAAGTCTTTGACAATAGAATCTTAATAGTGTACAACCTTTAATTTCATTTAATTATAGTCGAATTTCGACTACCGGGGACCATTAGTAGGTATATATATTATAACCAAAGTTTACGTAAGATTTTTCGTTAAAGTGATAACGGGTTGACAACTCTAACCACACAACTCATCTAAAGATATACTATTAGAGTATGTCGCGTATACCTACACAAGGTAGGTTTATTTAGATCGGAACTACGGCTATACTACGAGATTGATTATTTATCAGTAGTCAATTATACCAAAAATCACCATATACGATAAGGGTTGAATTTATTATTCGAGGTAAGGCAAAAGGCATTGCGAACACTTTTGAAGAAAACTTTCGAATGGTTTCCTTTAAGCATATTCGTTGCGCACATAGAGATTCTCAATTTTCTTGACATCTGGCAATCACGAACATGGCGGTCCACAAATTGAATAAGCGGCCACAAAAATGAGCGATGCGATCTGCGCGCGAGCTCAACGCGTCCGACAGACATGCCACGGTTCCGCGTCGAACGAAATCATAAAACCGAATTGAAGACGAGACGAGACGAGAGAGCATACGTGACCGCATCTTTGGCACAATTGCGTCCGCGCCACCCACATAAACCGCGGCTAGCTCGTAACATTTACATAATTAAGCGCCCGTGTGCAATCACGCTGACGTCTTAATTTCGCGAACGCCGCCGGCCGTAACATTTCCCAAATTGAGCCGGGGCAAGAATTCATATATAAATCGGGCCCGGGCCCGCCCCGGTTCCCGGATAGACCTTAATAACGTGGTATTACGGGCGTCCGCGATAGAATTCGCCACCCAAGACGTTTGTAATACGTCGTAATGAAGCCGGAATATTAAAAATGGCCCCGAACCGCTTATTATGTTCTCACCTCGGCGGGCGGCTCGTGAAATACGGCGGGTTAATATGAACCCCGGAGCGCTCGGTCCGGACACGACATCACTCTCGATGGCCCGTAATGGTGGCACTATCCGACGTGTGTAGCTTTTATTGGTTTTCAATTTTCTATTTTAACGAAATAACACGTTGAACTGCACATGAATTAGACTTAGAATGTTTAAAGAACATAGTACAAATCGTCATGAAGTAGCTATAACGTGTACATTTGCTGCACGATTTTTTTTTAACTTTATTCTCATGGTAATTTGTAAAACGCATGTTTTTATTTTTAGATCTAAGAACACCATAAAAATCGTTAAAATACACTAATAGCTAACTAAATAGAATCTAGAATTGAAATCATCGAAGAGCTTTGACAGGTGGTAGGACCTCTTGTGAGTCCGCACCGATAGGTACCACCACTCTGCCTATTTCTACCGTGAAGCAGTAATGCGTTTCGGTCTGAAGGGTGGGGCAGCCGCTCTAACTATACCGAGACCTTAGAACTTATATCCCAAGGTGGGTCGCGCATTTACGTTATAGATGTCTATGGGCTTCAATAACAGCTTAACGCCAGGTTGGCTGAGTGAGCTCGTCCACCCATCTCAGCAATAAAAAAAAAGCTTACCTATTCCCGGTTATTATGATTGAATCCAGTATTCACCACACTAGTCCGTATTATATTAATATCGATTTATGTGGTGTACAAACGATGAATTGTAGAGAAACTGCGGCAGAACGAGCGATCAGTGTTGTGATACATGAGTCACGACGTAATATCTAGCGCGATTAGCGTTCGCCTTATGATAATAGCTACCAAAATGAGCGGAGCTAATCTGAACGACAAATTGACTATTGGTTAAGCCGCACACGACGTGTGACCGTGACCTGGTCGCAACTTGTCTTTACTAGTGATGTTAAATACGCTGATCAAACTTTAGTATCATTTAATCGATATAAAGTATATTATATGTTTAGAACGTTAAGTAACGTGATACGCAATAAATACATTACGAATTTATTTCAATAAATTTATTTGTTTACTTGAATATAAGTTTCAGTTAAATAATTAGTGAGAAAACGAAAATATACATGATACTCATATGAAAGACCTTATATTACCTATATAATTATTTTGATTCTCTAAAAGTGCGCCTCGAAAGCAAGCGTCTTGTAAAAAAATATTTCAGCTGAACAAATTTTATAGCGACACCTATGTATGTATCTTATACCTTTAAACGAGCAATTCTTATATTTTAATATATATATAATCTCGGAAACGGTTCCAACGATTTTCTTAACATTTAGTATACAGGGGATTTCGGGGGCGATAAATCGATCTAGCTACGATTTATTTTCAGAAAATGTTGTTTTATTCGTGTTTTCAATAATCAACTCTTCCCGACATCTATTGGCGAATAATAATACTATTTTTCTTAATTGAGGGCAACTAATCGCTTTAAAGACACATCAAGATGGCGTTATCAAAAAAAAAATAGAGCAAATCTCGGTCATCATCTAGTACTTATATATAAAGATATGTAAGAAGAAGAAATCTCAAGATCAATAGTTTGCAAATAATTAAGTGTTTTGTTTTCCGAAATCAGGATAGATATGTTTGAAAAATTGCGGGATCATCTAAAACAAACCTAAAATTAAAAGTAATTCTTTCTGTACTCAATACATTTTCTAGGTTCTATTACGAAATGTGAAGCCCTAAAAGCTATCATCGATATTTCAAAAACACTGTTACATCACTATTCTCAACCAATAACAGTTTAGTTTTATTGAGTCAATGGTTAAACTATTTAGATAGAGATTAGGTTGTTTATTGTCATGTTTATGGACAGACCAATGAGTATAGATGTTTTGTGTCTTTATAAACTTTTGGTGGTCTTAATGTCACCGGGTAGCGATATTCAAATTTGGTGTAGTTAGTCGGAAGGCACTATGCTTTTTTTAATTTAATAATGTAACAAACTTTTAAAACGATACTAGACTTTTTGGTAATTTCCTTTATATTTCTACGCCAAACAATAAATTTTTCTTCATTAGTTTCTTCATTCGATCGAGTTGCATTAGTTACAACTATGAGCAAACTTTCAATGTATGTTCAATTTTTAAATTTTATTGCGTAAAAGTAAACAAAAATAAATAAACAATAACATGTTTGTTTCAATTTAGTATGTTTGTTTGTTTTCAATGCTTTCACGCGTCGTTTGTCACAGCTTCCCGTTGGACAGTGACAGTTATCGATGGACGGTAACAACAACAGTGTCCATCAGAGAAGTCAGAATTCTCAGTGAACAAAGTAAGAAACACGATGGAGGTATTGTTATAATATTGTGGATATTGTTAAGTTGGTTTTGTGAGCATTCGTGGTTGGTAAGGCGGTTAGGAATTTGTTATTATTAACGTAGACATTAAGTTTAAAGTTCCGTGCACGACCAGAATAAGTCTATGAAAATAATGCTTCATGGTATCCAGAATATGTTGAACCGTTCCAGATACTCGAATTTGAAAAGTGGAAATCAATAATCGTTTACCAGAGACGGATGGCCGGGTTTGTCAATTACATTGCTGGCAGCATCAGAAAAGTTAGTGAAAATAGATAGTATTTTAGTTCCTGTTTATTTTTTGGTTTATTGACCGACTATCAATGACAATTGTTAATATTTAGATATGCTACCAAAATAATTCCCTATTGCCTTCATCAAAGACCTTCGCGTGATATAAAAATGGTGCCTCAGAAAACATAATTGAGTTCGGTTTTCGGTACTTTTTCTTCGACTCTTGCTTTTCTTAAGTCGTCACTTCATCGACTGTTGGACGTCCTATACTAAATACCCAAATCGCGATCGCCAAGAAGAGCATTAAAGATCGTCTTGTGAAAATGTGATTTTCATTTTCCTTTGAACTTTCACTTGGGCAAATTGCTATAGGAATATTTAAGTTTTCTTTTTAAATATCATTACGATTATAATGTATATTGAAAAATATTCATCAAAAACTACTTATAGGATTTTCTTTAATAGCACGATAACTTATTAATTTGACAACAAAAAAAATTTTCAACCAACATCGCCCGGCGCGAACGAAGCCGAATGTAATTTTGACATTAATAAAAATATCATCGAGGGAGCGTGTCTAACGTAGATCTTTCTCTTGTAGCCTGTTAATTATGTGGCCTCGGAACAAAACGTTGAATGCCTTCGAACAATGGTCAAGTGTGGGGTCCGAGACCACCAGCCGCGCTTTTCCATTAATGGGTCAATTTAGCCCCGCGCCGCCACAGGTCGTGGTTATAATTGTAATATTAAATATTTGATAAATAAGGCATTCCGGTCTGTTTTTTTTTTGTCGAACGACAGCTGGGATGGTTTTTTGAAACGGCATTTATAATAGTGGGACAGACTCTTTTCAAGCAAACAGGTTAGTGAGAATTAAAAGAGATATTACGTTGAAAACGGAGCTCATCAATGGGGATTCGAAGTGTTCACAGGTGTTTAACGAAAATCGCTTTTACTAATTTCATTGTATTACTTGCATTTCTGATGTTTAAAATAATGCACAGTTTTCGTAGTCACGCGAAAATCAAGCAAAATACTATATGATCGCAGATTCGATTTTTGACTGACTTGGACATTTTCAGTTGAAAATCTCTCGCAACTTCGAAACATGTAAACAGTATACATAATATGTTTTCCCAAACGCCCCAAAAGGAGGATTACATAAAAAATAATCGTCATTGAGTTTTCAAAAAGAAAAACTATTACTAGTTTTTAAATGTTGCAAATTTATCAGTTTATCCAAGCTTGTATTCATTAGCGAACGATCTTACAGCCCACTT